CCGCTTCCTTCTGAGAGGTTTTTGTCTGTGCCTCCGTTGAAGGTTTCGAGAACTTCTCGGGAGGCCACCCGGGGCTTCCGAGCCTCTTGGGAAGCCCCGCCGCCGAGAGCTGGTCTGCGGCCCCTGCTTTTTCCGCTGGGGTGTGCTCAAGACTGGCGCGGTGCTCTCGCAGGCAGGCTGCTCGGAGCAAGGAGCAGCACAAGTAGCAATCCCACCAGCCCTCCGGGCGCAGGTGGTCCAGAGAGGCTCCTCTTTTCCAACCCCCTACTTCCCCTTCGGGGAGAGATTGACCCCCTCCCATGGAACTGGACGGGGCGCCCCCGAGGAGACTCTTGAGAGGCAACTCGCTTGGGCATCGTTTCTGGATGGGCTGGTGGGGATACTTTTCCCTACCTAGGCTCTGCCTAGAAGGGTTCTTACTCTCTGGGCTTAAAGGGGCGGGCAGTGGAAAGCGCCCCAGGCGGTTCCCCCAGTATCCGCCCCGCGGTTCCCCCAGTTGCGCCCCCTGGGTTCACCCAGCTTAGCTTAGCTAAGCTTAGCTTAGCTTAGCTTAGTTTAGCTTAGCTTATCTCATTTTAACTTAACTTAGCTTTGCCTAGCCTAGCCTAGCTTAGCTTAGCTAGGCTTAGTTTAGCGTAGCTTAGCTTAGCGTAGTTTGGTTTAACTTAGCTTAGCTTAGCTTAGCTTATATCATATTAGCTTAGCTTAGTTGAGTTTAGCTTTGCCTAGCCAGTTTAGCTTAGCTTAGCCAGGCTTAGCTTAGTTTAGTTTAGCTTAGCTTAGCATAGCGTGGCTTAGTTTAGCCTAGCTTAGTTTAGCCTAGCCTAGCTTAGCTTAGCTTAGCATAGCTTACCTTACCTCAGCTTAGCGCAGCGCAGCATACCGCAGCGCAGCACTAGCACAGCATAGCATGCAGGTGTAGATGTTAATGTAGCTGTCGGTGTAGATGAAGGTGTAGATGTTAATGTAGCTGTCGGTGTAGATGTAGATGATGCTCTCCTAGATGCTCCAACTCCTAGGTAGGGTCGCACTGGGATAATTTCGTTCGCACGCGCAAGCGGAAGAGCCGCGCGCCGTCAATCAGATCCAGCGAAGGCCTAAAAGGCAGCGGCCGGGACCGAGGCTACGCGCGCGCAGCGGGCGAGCAGCCGAAAAAGAGACAGTGGCCGGGCCCGCGTGCCGAAGAGTGGCCCTCAGCAAACTATCCCTCAGCGGACTTGTCCTCAGCGACCATCACCACAACGAACTTGTCCTCAGTAAAGTTGCCCTCGGCTACGAGTCGGCATGTGCCGAATGTGAGCACGGGCACCACCGCCGTCGTCGAGTACGAACTTGTGACCACACCACGTAGGTCAGCCTCGCAAAGGTGCCCTCAGAAGTCCTTCATCAACTGGCGACGCGTGCCGTCCACTCAGCCGACATACCACGGACCATGGCCAACGAACGGAGCCAGCGAAGAGCGACAGGCCAAGGTACGCTGTGCTGACCAGAGCACCTCCCGCAGGGAAACAGCCGCAGGGAGAGGGCCCTTGTGTCAGCTGGTGGGGATACTTGTTTGTCGCAGCCGCAAGCGAAGGCGCAGGCGGCATCAATCGGGTCGGGCGGGCTACGCGGGACCCTAATTGCCTAACGCGCCGGCTAACCAGTGGCCTAAGCAGCACCTAATCGGACCGGATGCGAGAGGTGGTGCGGGCTGCAGCTGCCAGGAAACAGGTCCAGGAGCGAGCGCATGCATAATTAGCCAACCAAGGTTGAGGCGCAGCCAAAATGGCGCGGGAGCGATACCAGGATGAAGCCAGGAGCACCATCACGAGGGACCGCTGACACCAGCTAGGCCAGGAAGAACTCACTGACCAGGAAACTAGTGCATGGAAGTGGCGCCACCAAAGTCGCACACAACGAGACTCCTGAAGGGAGTACTGATCCCGACACTTGTCGTCTAACTGTGTACAGAGTGAACACGAGCGGCAAGCGGAGTAGCCAGGGAAACGATGGATGTGATCAACACCGCAATTGAACCTGAGCCAGCGGATCAAAGGAAACCACGCGCATTCCCGAACAAGGTCGACGACGCCTGTAAGAGAACTGACCAGGAACTGGGCAGGGGCACGCCTCAAGCACGAGGTCGAGTGAACACGAAAGTGCCGTGGACACCGCCGCCAGGAAACCTTGGACGTAGTCAACACAGTCGGCCGACGGCCAGGAGAGCACAGGCTGTTTTTTGCCCCCCGACGAGAGGGGCCCCGCACGCCGCTCACCCGCTCACCCGCAGTACTGGTCCCGCTCGTCGAACGCGATTCCCAGCGTGGCCGTCGCCTCGCACAGGTGCTGGCGGTACAGAGCGCCTAGCCTGTGCCTCTTGCACTCCGGCGTGAGGGCGCTCGGTGCGATGGGCCGGCGGACGGTGACGCACGAGCACGGGCGGCGAGCATAGGGGACGCAGGAGGACAAGAGGGAGGCAGGAAGCGCTACCAGGAAGTGGCTGAAACCAGTAAGCAGCTGAAGGCTGCACTTTCTGTAAGAATCGACCCCAGTGGCGGCAGGAAGGCAGCCGGAAACTTTACTGCAAGTGCAATCGCCCCAGAATGTCAGAGGGGACCGCTTGGTCTACTCCTCTTTCCGCAGCAGTGCCAAGGCTAGCTGCCACTGCCGCTCCCACTCCACCGTAGCCGCCGCCACGGCCGTCCTCCTCCTCCCCCTCCTCCTGATCGCCCGAACTGTAGGTGATGTACAGAAATCCTCCTTGCATCGTGCTGCCACTGCCGTCGTCGTACTGTCCGCCTCTTCCCACCGTGCCACTATCGCGGCCACTGCGCTCCCTCCCACCTCCTTCACACGCGCTGCCACTGCCTTCGACGCCTGATGCCACTGCGAACGCCGGCTCTTCTCGCACGCGCTGTTCTTCTAGGTCTGGTAGGTGATCATGGCGGGCTCCAGCTTCTACACGAGCATCTCGCTCAGCAGCGCCACAGCCTGCTGCCACTACCGAGGCCTCCTCTTCTCGCAGGCGCTGTTCGCAGTGCCGTGGGTGATGATGGTGGGCTCCAGCTTCACTCCCAACATCTCGCTGAGCCGAGCCAGAGCTGGCTGCCACTTCCCCTTCTCGCAGGCGCTGATCACAGTGCTGTAGCGGGTGATGTTGGGCTCCAGCTTCACGACTGCCATCTCGCTCAGCAGCGCCACAACCTGCTGCCACTGCCAGCGCCTGCTCTTCTCGCACGTGCTGTTCACGATGCCGTAGGTGATGATGTTGGGCTCCAGCTTCACGACCACGATCTCGCTCAGCAGCGCCACTGCTGGCTGACACTGCCAACGCCTGCTCTTCTCGCACGCGCTGTTCACAGTACGGGCTCCAGCTTCGCGAACAGGATCTAGCTCAGCAGCGTCACAGCCCACTGCGATTGCCAACGCCTGCTCTTCTCGCACGTCCTGTTCACAATGCCCTAGGTGATGTTGGCGGATTGGGGCTTTATGATCACTATCTCGCTCAGCAGCGCCACTGCCCACTGGCTGGTGGGGGATACGCGAAGCGTCAAGAATTGTCGGAGGCCGCGCGGGGTTCTCGCCAGCGGCGCCAGCCCACCTTGACGGAGCCTCTGGCGCCGCTCCCAACAGCACGTGAGCATGAATTTGGTCGGAGGTCCGCGCGGAGTTTTCGGATCGGCGCCGGTCCCCCTTGACGGAGCCTCTGGCGCCGCTGCCAGCGCGCTCCGCGCGCAAGCGCAGAGAGTCCAGCGCCGATCCAAGAAGTCCGCGCGCACCTCCGGAAGTGCCTGTTCCTGCACGCTTTGTCTGCATCCGGGGCCTCCTGAAGCGACGACGAACTGGCTTCTTGAAGGCAGGAGACCTGGCGTTCAAGCTTGGTTGTCGGAGCGTGGTGTAGATCCAGCGACGCCGTATTCGACGACCCCCTGTCCGTCCTTTCGCCCCCCCACCAGGCTCTCATCTTCCTCACCCTCCTCTTCCTCGCCCCCCTTCCCCACGGACCTCCGCATCCTCGTCTTCCTCCTTGCTATCCTTACCCTCCCAGCACGTGGCTCCTCACGACTGCGCCCGAGGAGCTGGGCTGGCCCTTCTGAAGCTCGCTGCCTGGTCTGGCTCTGAGCTCTCGGCCTCGCTCGTGTGAATGATTTCCAACCTGCGGGGGGTGGGGTGGGGGGGCCAAAGTGGAGCAGGATGGAGGACGGAGTCAGCACGACTGCGAGCAGGATGGAGGATGGAAGCGGAGGAGGAGGAGGAGCAGGAGGAGGAGGAGCAGGAGGAGGAGGAGGAGGAGGAGGAGGAGAGGAAGAAGGAGAACGCGAAGTTGGACCCCGCGGCTCGCCCTGAGCTTCTCGGAATGCCCAGGGCCAGTGTGGCAGGCCGGGGGCAGCAGCCGGTTGCGAGGTGCAGCGAGCGACGTCTCCGCGCGGCGACACGACGTGCGCCAGGCTCGCCTTCACGGTTGGCGTGCCACGAGGCACGCCCGCGGGCTGCCGCAGCCTGCGGCACAAGCGAGCGAGCGAGTGTGGCAGGGCCCCCTCGCGCGCGCGAAGCAGCCGCCCTGCCGCCCAGAGGTCCACCTCTGCCTGCAGTTCTCCACCGAGGAGGGCCCGCCGCCGCGCGGCCGCCCCATGGCCCCGCGGGCCGGACGCCTCCGCCCCTCCTCGCGGCGAGCGCTGCTGGCCCCTCCTCGGACGGAGCCTCACGTCGGGCGTGTCCCTCTGCAGGAGGAACTGTCAAGAGCAGTTTTGAAATACACCTTGCTCATTTCTAATTATTCGAGGGCTCTTGGACGTTGTGGGGGGCCAGGATCCTTTCATTTCTGATTCTTCCATCCTGGGCCTCTTCCTGGCCGCTAAGGGGCCAGGAACAATTAGAAACGAGCACAGTTAGAAATGAGCACGATTAGAAATGAACAGCGTGTAGTCTGGTGACGAGTGCTCGTGCTCTTCGGACTATGTCCGACTATTTGTGTGCCGAATTCTTCCGTTTCCTCCAAAGCCCGCCTGTAGGAGGACATGCCCGACCTGAGCAGAGCCGCCTCCCCCAAAGGTCTGCCCTCCACGGCCGCGTCCCCCGCGTGCAGCGGGATGCTGTTGAGTACTGGGTGTTGCGTTGGAGACGGAGGCTGTTGAGTACCCGATCTTGTGCTGACGCACGAAGGAGGAGGAGGAGGAGGAGGAGGAGGAGGAGACGCAAGAGGAGGAGGACGAGAAGGAGGAGGAGGAGGAGGAGGAGGACGAGGAGGAGGAGGAGCTGTTGAGTGGTGGGTGTTGTGTCGAGCGCGGAAGCACGGCGAACGGGCGGCGGGGAGCGGGCGGGCGGCGGGCGGATCGGGATCTGAACAGAACTCCTAAGGACTCCACCCCTTGCACGGCCATCCCGTCCCGCAGCGCCGCCACTGCTGCACTCACGAGCGCGGCTTCTCTCCTGCTTCTCCCTGCAGGGAGCCCCGCGGCCGCGGCCGGCCACCTCCTCCCGCGGCCGGGGCGCCCTCGGCGCCGGGGGACTCGACTTGAGAGCCAGGGCAAGATTGAAGTCGGGCACGTCCCTCTACAGGAGGAATATTCGAGAATAGTCAAGTAATTATATGGGGACGATGTTTCGATTATCTTGTACTATGTTTGACTCGGTTTTACTTCTCTTCCAAGATCCCCCTGTAGGAGGACATGCCCGACCTAAGGCAGAATGAGCCTTCTCGATGTTGGTTTTGTTCCTGGGCCAGCGTGGCCCGGGGCGCTTCCCGCCGATCCCAGGCGGTCATGAGCTTCGGCTCGACGTGTCGCGTCGCCGGTTTTGGCCAACCGCGCGTCGGCGGGGCACTCTAGCCATTTCCTGGTCCACAAGCATCATCGCCCCAAGTGTTTCCCGTCTTCCATGCTTCCAGGCCTCCCAGATGGGGTCGGAGCAGATGGAGTTGGAGGATCGCGCCGCATCGGCGATGCATCGGCGATGCGGCTCGATGTGGGGCCCAATTGTCTCCACGCCGACGTCGCGAATGTATCGCCGACGTCGCCAGTGCATGGCCGATGCATGGGCGATGCATCGGCGATGCATCGCCGATGTATCGGCGATGCGGCGAGATCCTCCGACCCCATCTACTCGGACCCCATCCAGGAGGCTTCTAATGCTGTCCGTTTGCAGGGCATAGCGCATCGCGGGGGCCGCCGCAGCGACACGCTGCGCGAGAGTTCCCGACCGCAGACAGGGCGCCGAGGCGAGAGCCACCCGGCAGCGAGGGGCCGCACCCACGGCGCGGTCTCCTGGCATCGCTCGGACGTGTGCATTTTGCCTCCGGCGAGAACCATCGAAGAGCACCCTTGATCATTTGGCGAAAAAAAATTCTGTTTTCTTTTTTTATGTGTATATATATATATATATATACATATATGTCGGCGGTGCGCCGTGGCACGAACCCCCCCCCCCAGCACTACCGGGGGGTTTCGTGCACTACCGGGGGGTTTCGTGCAGCCCGCACCGGGTGCCGCCAGCGGCTTAGAACACCCCCCCCTTGCCGCTTTACCGGGGGGGTTCGTGCAGGCCGCATTGGGTCCTCCCCTGTCGCTTTACTACCTGCGTCTACCTGGGCTCCCCCCCCCCCCCTGTGGGAGTGGGGGGGTGGGAGTGGGGGGTGGGTTGGGGGGGGGCAGGGGGGCGGTTGGGAAGGGTGGCTCCCTGTCGAAGTGTGGCGTGTGCTCGCCTTGTGTTCTCTATTCGCGTCTGCTCGCCTTTGTTCCGCCGCAGCCTCTCGTATTGTGGCTCGTGGCCACAATACGAGAGGCTGCGGCGCAACTCCCGAGAGCCGCTGTGGGGGGTCGACGGCACGGCCGCGTAGAGAAGAACAGTGCCGCCGTGTTCCGGCACGGCCCTGGGATGCAATGCCGCCGCCGTGTTCCGGCCCGTCCTGGTAAGATTCGCGCGTCGGGGCTGGGGTTCGCGCCGCTTACGGAGGGGTTGCGTCCTTACCGGGGGGGTCGTGCAGCCTACCAGAGGAGGTCGTGTTTACCGGGGGGTTTCGTGCAGGCTCGCACCGGGAATGGCGCCAGCTCGAAACCCCCCAGGAGAGATTACCGGGGGGGGGGTTCGCTCCGCACCGGGCACCGCCGACATATATATATAACAAACATATATATATATATATAATATATAAAAATAAATAGTAATGATATAAAATAATAATTATAATAAATATTAATTAATATAAAAAATATATTATATATATATATATATATTATATATATTATATATATATAAAAAATATAATTAATAATAATAATAATAATAATAATAATAATTAATAATAATATAATAATAATAATAATAATAAAATAATAATAAAAAAATAAAAAAAAAAAAAAAAAAAAAAAAAAAAAAAAAAAAAAAAAAAAAAAAAAAAAAAAAAAAAAAAAAAAAAAAAAAAAAAAAAAAAAAAAAACGCACGAAACCGAAAAAAAAAAAAAAACACAGGGAATGGACGTCCGAGCGATGCGATGGCGCGGTCTCTCAGAGGGCGCAGCCGTCGCGGGCGGGAGGGGGCGCCACTCCGAGCCGGGCGTGGCTCTGGCTCTGGCGCGGGAGCGAGACCCACCGCTCCGAGCTCTCTGCCGCCCCCCCGGGGCCGAAGCGCGCGCGCGCACGGGCACGCCACGAAGGAGTGCCGCGGCACGAGCACGAGCGCTCGGAGGTCCTCCTCCTCCTCCTCCCTCCTCCTCCTCCCCCTCCTCCTCTCCTCCTCCTCCTCCTCTCCTCCTCCTCCTCCTCCTTCCTCCTCCCTCCTCCTCTCCTCCCTCCTCCTCTCCTCCTCTCCTCTCCTCCTCCTTCCTCTCCTCCTCCCTCCTCCTCCTCCTCCTCTCCTCCTCCTCCTCCTCCTCGGCGCTGGACCCCCCCTGGCGGCGCCTCTGGGGCCGCCTCTGGCGCGCTCCGCGCGCCCAGGGGGGGGATCCAGCGCCGACCCAGGAGGTCCGCGCGGACCGTCGAGAGAGTGTGTGCTCGTGCGCTTCCCCTTGCCCTCGGCGAAGCGATCAGCCCTTGGGCCTTCGATGGATCCTCGATCGCTGGCCGCGGATCGAGCCTGGATCTTCCATCGATCCTCGGCCCTCGGTCCTCGAACGAACCTCTGACGGAATCGGCCCTGTCTGGCGGCGGGGCATGGGACCAGAGGTCGGGTGCTCGGCAAGTCTCGAGCGAAAATCGCCACTGCCAGGCGACGTGGGAGGCCCACACGATCCGGAGCTGCCATCGGTCCTCGATCTTCGAACGAGCCTCCGACAAAAGCTGCACTGTCTTGCGGCATGCAATGAGGCCATACAGCCAAGACGCTGAAATAAAGAACAGTTTGGATTCGGAAGGGGCTCGATGTTCCTCACGTCCTTCCGCGGCTGTTCCTCTAGCCCTTCTCGTGCACCCAGGTTTTTTGAAGCCGCAGAGGGGCTTCGTTCCTTATTTAGCGCTCCTTCTTTCAGCATCCCGCCTGTACAGATAGTTCCCATGAAGTCTCCAGGACCAGTGGGTTTGTCTTGCAGGAGCGAAGAAGTCCCTCGCGAAGTCGTCACGTCCAAGTGGCCCGAGAGATCACTCGGTCGCCCTGAAAGGCGGCCCGAGAATTTATTTGGAGCAAGCCGTCGGCGGAATGCGACTTCTGGTCCGTACCCTAGTGGGTCGGTATCATGTTAGTAACATGGACGAGAGGTACACCAGAAGGTCACAAATTGACCAGTGCAACATTATATTGAGGCCCCGCGGCGTAAGGGGAGACGTGCAAAGTTCTTGTGCGATTTCTGCGGCCCAGATTGTGTGATCCAGGAGTTTGTAGGAATGTTGCCAGCGCCAATGCGGCAGCGCCTGCCCACAGCATGACTGTTGGGTTGGGGGAGTGGCCGGCGCTGCGTTGAAGGCACCCTTCTGAGCCAGGAGCGTGACTAAAGCCGGGGCGAGAGCACCATCTCTGCGCTGGGACTGTGAAGCTACCAGGAAATGACCCTTCGGAGAGTGGCCAGCGCTGCGGCGAGAGCATCATTCCGAGCCGAGATAACATCTGGCACTGGACTGCGGGCGTTCGAGCCAGATCCTTTGGGATCGAGGGGCCCCACCCACCGCTGGGACCCATCGGGGTCCCTTCAGGGGGTGACCAGCGCAGAAACGAGAGTGCTATTTTGGACTGGGAATGTGCTGGCGTTGAGCCGAGAGCATTATTTTGAGCTTGGGAGGCAGAGACGAGGCGAGAGCCACACGTTCCGAATGAATCTTGCATGCGTGCCGAACGCTGATCCGAGAGTACATTCCAAGCCAGGGTTCCCCTCGGCGCTGACGCGAGAGTGAAAGTCCAAGCGAGGTACGTGCTAATGCGATAACCAACTACATGTATTGGTACGATTGGTGGGCACGCTCCGATGCGACAGGGCCTCTAGGGCTACTTGGCCCTAGTAGCCCACCCACCAGGTAGCACCAGCGGGGCCATCTGTCTTCATCAGAACCTACACTCGACGATTCTTGGAAGAGCCCTTGTGGGCGCACCAGGTTGGTGGCTTTGGGCTCAGTGGTATGGCCCCCTGGTCGCACCACGAGGACTGCCTGGGACCCCGTGTTAGATCCCCCTGGCCCTATGCATTGGTATGGCTATTCGGCCGAAGCTGTAGAGCACCAATGGCTGGACTTGTAGGATGGCAGCATAAACCCTAGAGTTGTCCCCTGCTCCCCCCCTCTCCCCCCCCATCGTGCTACAGGCTCGGAAGGTTTCCTCTTAGCGCCGCCACACGCGCCGATGCCGATTCACAGCGTGTTGGGAGTGTCCACACCCAGTCCGCTGGTCATGTTGTAGCACAGTCGTGTAACGTGTGCACCCCCATTGGTTTTCATCACACACAGTGCCATTATTTCGGTTTTTACACACCCTGTTCATTACCCACTCAGTGCCGAAGAAAACTTGGCACCTCCCAATGTGTTTTGAGACCGCATGGCGGCCCAAACCAGGCCAAACCAGGACTGAACCAGGCAACTTGTGAGGACGTCTCGGGCGAAACCAGGCCCAAACCAAGCTAAACCATGGCCAAACCATGAAAATGCTGAGGATGTCTCGGGCGAAACCGGGCCCAAACCAGGGGCCAAACCAAGCAGATGTTGAGGACGTCTCAGGCGGGGCGCGCGGCCAAGCTAGGCCAAACCAGGGGCCAAACGAGGCAGATTCTGGACGTCCTAGGCAGAATCGCCCAAACCAGGCTCCATCCACTCTCCTTGAAAAGATTCGAATGAAAGGGGTGGATCACCCCAGGGGCCCCCCCGCAGGTGGACGCCAGTTTAGAATTCTGTAGGGGGGGGGGGGGCGTTTGGACCGCGCGTCCGCTGATGTGGACGGGGTTGGACGCAGAAGCCTTCATTTGTCTTCTGGGTGTTGTTGGGACTTCGATGTGGCGTCAGGGGAGAGTGTTCCGCGCCTGCAGTGGGGCGGCTCAAAGGACAAGACCCAAAGTGTTACCAAATCGCGCCGCATCACGTGAGCAGTCCTGTTATTGTGTGTACGTCTGTTGTGTCTTGTAGGACGGCCGTTCAGTTCATACCCGAAGAAGAACTAAATCGTGTTGCTTATGCGGCCCAACTGTCGCGCAAGTAGGTCTGTTTAAAGCCTAGTAGTTTGATGCCATCTCGTGTAAGTCTGAGCGCCGTTCCCTTCGGTGCGCTGCTGCCCCCGGCGTACTTGTACGGCTACGTGGCCGCACCTGCGTGGCATCTTTGCCAGAGTCGTAGACTCTGTAGGGTTTGCCAGCAGCGTTCGCGATGTCCATCTACAGACAGGGAGCGAGCCGACGGTTGACGGTCTTGTTGTCGAAGTAGTTGTCTGGTCGATCGTGGCACATGTGGCCTCCGTGTTTCGACGGCACGGCAAGATGTCAATGCACCAGAGAGCCCTCAGATGAGCGGTGGCCAACAGCGCCGCAATAAGAAGGCAAGATGAGCTCTTGAGGGATCCCTATCACACAAGTTGGAGGTCGGTCGCGTGCCACGGGGGCGGCCCGTTCCTCGGGGGGGGATTTCTGTTAATTTAGAGGTTCAGGTACAGATATCCGGAATTTACATTTGATTCTAGCATTGTGTTTCGAAAGGGTTCTTGCGGGGTTCCAGCGCGGTTCTGTCAGGGTTCCATGTGGTGCCAGCGCGGTCCAATTTGGTTCCATGAGTTTCTTGCAGGCTTTTGTGTGTTTGTGTGTTCCAGCGTGGTTCCAGAATGATTCCAGTGTGATTCCCGCGCGCTCCCAATTCTGCCCCACATGGGTTCATCCAGGCTCCGGCGTGGTTTCAGCGTGGGTTTGTATGGCTTCACAGCGTTCTTGCACGGATCCAGCGCTGGAATGCGTTGATTCAGCATCGCTTTGCACGGTTCCAGCGCGATCTTCTGTAGCTCCACCATATTTTCAATGCGGTTCCAGAGCGGTTCCGCCGTAGGTCCCCAGGGTTCTGCAGGGCATTTTCACATGTATAGTGTGGTTTCGACATGGTTCCAGTGTGATTCCTTCGCTGCTCGCGCGTGGGGCCTTCGGAATGTTCGCCGCACGTCGACAGTGCGTATATGGAAGTCGGATGGCGACCACGCCCAGCAAGATTCGGTTAGAGAGGAAAGAGCAGTACGCCAGCAGGCTCGGAGGGGATTCGGAAGGCACCAATGCACATGGCAATATCGAGCGTTTGTGCAAAGACTTCTTGAAGCATCCAAGTATTGCGACCACAGTCAAAGGCGGTCGCATACCACATAGGCCGATGAGTTACTCAAACGGCGCAGGAATAGACGGCTGCAGTGGCAAGTCGACAACCAATGCGCGCCAATTTCGACGACCCCATGTCTGTAATACGTTTACCCTTCCCTTCCAGGGGCTCCCTCCCATCAAGAAGTTGACCAGCAATACGAAACCAGGCTAGAAAGCAGGCAACACGGGAAGCTGAAAAGGAAGCCAAAAAGCAAGCGATGTGGCGACCGCGTCTTAGGATTTGGGTCATCTGGGCCTGGAAAGGTTTAGTCTTGATCAAACAGAGTTGGCCCAGTACCGTTTCTCAGTCAACACTCTGATTGGCACCCCATATGTCCATACATTGGGAGCCTCTGCCGACGGCCTAGCACTTCAGAGCACCACCGAGAGCCACGGGTCAAAGTACTGTTTGGCTAGAAGCATTATATGATTGTGTTGGTGGTAGATTGGCTCGTATTTGTTTCTTCTCCACGACAGGAAGCGCAGAGGAATGCGGACGCTTTCTTGCGAGCGATCGTTGGAAACGCGGAGTTGGGCAAGAAAGGTTCGTCCATGAAGGACCACCGCGCCTCTTGCTTGTCCGATTCCTTGTCGTAATTTCCTACACGTCTTCTTCACCTACCCTTGTCCTCTTCACCCTCATGTGCGATTACAGGCACCGTGCACTCATGACAGCTCCAGAAATTGAGCTTGCCCGCTTCATTTTGTCTGTCCTTACCGGCCCTACCCATCCTAATTTGTCCTTGTGAGTGAGTGTCGCTGTTTCGCGTTTGCTATTGATTACCATGTTGCAGCCCAGTGCCCCACCCATCATCGAACTAATGATGCAGCAGGAACGTCAGGGCGCCTGAGTGGGCAGATGAGACCCAGCGAGAGCGTCGAGTCGGGAGGATGGCCAAGAGGAACCAAACCACCACACGCATTTACGCTTTCTGGGCCCGGCACGGACGTAGAGTCGGGCATGTCTTCGGTTGGGCGACTCTTTGTTGTTCCCCACCATCCAGGTGGCTCCAAATTGGAGTTTCGATACCCATGCCTTTTTGAGTAAGCGTCTGGCAAGTACCAGGAGTGTTTTGCACGTAGTGGTTCCGACTCCCTCGTGTGCGCACCCATCCACTCGAAAGGTCTATTATTATTTCGTTGTGCTACGCTCTTTGGCGAGTTCACGCGTTGCCGTCGATTTGGATGATTCTATGACGCGATGTCTCGCGCTCGCGGTCTTCATACTTTGCTCGAAAGGCCTGTGATGTCCTCAAAGCACGCTGTGCATACAGTGGGGGCGTTGGTTAAGGAATGTGCCCAGGAGGCTTCAGACCCTGGGGGCTTCGTTATCTAATATTGGCGGCGGCGATGTCCATTGCCAATCCACGATCGAAGTTCCACTGGCTTCGAGACCCTGGAATCCTTATCCATTGGTTCCTTATCCAATGCCCTCACCGTATCTGTCTCTTGCGCTCACATCCGCATCTCACCACCACAGGGTGCCACTGAAAGGAAGCGGCCTGGCGGCCCTCCAGAAGCATGAACAGTCGGGTGTTGCAAGAAGCGCCCCTGGCCCACGGTGCCCCCTGGATCTCCAAGGAGGCCCCCGCGAGGCCCAGGGGGCCCCAGGGGCTCCGAGATCGAGCGAAGGGCACCCTGGGCCAGGGGCACCAACAGAGCAGCTCCCGAAGCAGGCCCCGCGGGACGTCGCGAGGCGATCCCCCCCCGCACGTGCACGTTGCGCTGGCGAGGGCCTCGCTCCTCCTCCCCCGCGGGGGCGCCGGCGCCCTGCCCCCCCCCCACGTGCACCTCGAGCGGCAGAGGGCGGGGCTCGCCGCGGCAGCGAGCCCCAGCGCTTCGCTCCCCCTCCTCCTCCTCCTCCTCCTCCTCCTCCTCCTCCCTCCTCCTCCTCCTCCTCCCTCCTCCTCCTCCTCTCCTCCTCCCTCCTCCTCCTCTTCCTCCTCCTCCTCCTCCTCCTCCCCCTCCTCCTCCTCCTCCTCCTCCTCCTCCTCCTCCTCCTCCTCCTCCCCTCCTCCTCTTCCTCCTCCTCCTCCTCCTCATCCTCCTCCCTCCTCCTCCTCCTCCTCCTCCTCCTCCTCCTCCTCCTCCTCCTCGCTCCTCGCTACTCGCTCCTCGCTACTCGCTCCTCCACCCCCCGGGGAGCTGCTCTCTAGGCCTCCTAGCAGAGGGTTCCAAAGGGGGTTTGGGGGGGAGGGGGTTTTCCAGGAGGGGTCTCCCAGGGGCTTCGCGCCCCCTGTCTTGGCGAGGTTTCGAGGCCCCTGGGGGGGCTCTCTGGAAAGCCCCCTCCCCAAAAGCCCCCTTTGGAACCTCTGGTCCTAGATGGGGTCGCAGGATCGCGCCGCATCGCCGACGCATCGACGATGCGGCTCGATGCGGAGCCCGATTTTCTCCACGCAGACGTCGCCCATGCATCGCCGACGTCGATGCCTCATCGCCGGTGCATCGCCGATGCATCGCCGATGCATCGCCGATGTATCGCCGATGTATCAGCGATGCGGCGCGGCCCTTCGACCTCACGGCCCCATCTGGGAGGCCTCTGGTTGCTGCGCCCTCCGAAAAAGCTTGCGTCGAAAAAGAAGAGAAGAAAAAACAAACAAACAAAAAACGGTACAGGAATAGGGGCGGCGCTCCGCGCGCCAGGGAGGGGGTCCAGCGCAGATCCAAGAAATCCGCGCGGAGCGCCACAAAATTATGTTTATGGCGTTTTTTTCTTCTTCTAACATTGATTCGGGCGGCTTGTGGCGGTTTCCTCTCGCTCATTTGTTTTTTTGTTCTCTCTCTCTCTCTCTCTGTCCACAGCCAGCCGAGCTCGTTCCAAAGACGGTGAAGCTCCCTGATGCGAGAGTTGCATGGTCCAGCTGCCTCAGACATCAATCCAAGGGACGCCGTTGGAATCTTTATTAGGGGCGACGGGTGCTCAGGATACACGTAGCACCCCGCGGTTGCGGATAAGAGTGAGGGGGCGGCGAGGACGTCGTCAGTCTGCCAGGCTCTGAAGAAGCCCGCCGCAGGCGCCTAACTTTTAAAAATTATGCAGTGAGCCCGCCGCAAGCGCCGATGTTTTCGTTAAAGCAATGCGGGTGGATCGCGGGGTGGATCGCGGGTGGGTCGCGGGTGGGCAGCGGGTGGGTCGCGGGCGAGGTCGCGGGTGGGTCGCGGGTGGGTCACGTATGGGTCGCGGGTGGGTCGCGGGTGGGTCGCGGGGTGGGTCGCGGGGTGGGTCGCGGGTGGGTCGCGGGGTGGGTCTCGGGGTGGGTCGCGGATGGGCCGCGGGCGGGTCACGGAGTGTGTCGCGGGTGGGTCGCGGGTGGGTCGCGGGCTGGGTCGCGGGCTGGAGCGCGGGTTGGGTCGCGGGCTGGGTCGCGGGCTTGGTCGCAGGGGGGACGACGACAACAACAACAACAACAACAACAACAACAGCAGCAACAACAACGCAACAAGCAGAATCCTCACCACGGATTCCCTTTTCAGCCACGCGCCCAGGGACAATGAATGACCGTTCGGCCCCCTCACTCTGATGAAGGAGGCAATGGCGTGTCCGCATGCGTTTGTTGTATGTTTGTGTTTGTTTCTATCGCTTTGGTTTCAGCAGGGAGGAGCAAGCAAGTCAGCATCCCATGGCAAACAGAGCCATTCAGACCAAATGTTAGAGTTTGGCCTCGTACGTAGAGCTTGCTCTCGCCATCAGGCCATCTTGTCGTTATCACATCTCTGATCCGATCCACATCATTCTCTGCACCAGCGGTTGTTCGTGACAGTACGAGTATCAGAATGTTGTCTCTTGCTGCACTGCGCCGGGAGGACCGCGTTGTCATTATTCCTGAGGGTGACGCTCTCAACGTCGCCAGCGATTTGGCGATTTGGCCCCCCGCCCGCCGCAGCATGATCCGTAGAAGTTATTATTGTGTTTTATGTTTATTATTATTATTATTATTATTATTATTATTATTATTATTATTATTATTATTATTATTATTATTGTTGTTATTGTTATTATTATTATATGTTGTTGCTTAGTGCCTGGAATATTTTCTCATCCCCGGGTAGACGCTTTCGATGAAGAGAGTGCGTCGGACCGTGGAGCCGTGTCACAGAAGGACCCCGGGTAGCCTACGACTGTCTTCAAGTAACGCCGACAAGCCATGCCTCCACCACAGCTACTGGTCGCAATAGCACCCTTCCCTGCAACAAAGAATCCCGATTCATCAGTATTGGCAGTGCTCGGACTGTTGCGCATACGTCTCGTTCTGTTCACGGTACCACGTCCATCATCCAACATGGCATTCACGATTGTTGTTTCGCGTTCTTTTTGAGTCCTTGTTTTACCCTAGGCTGATGAGGTGTGTCGAGACGTGATTGTTTGGGCGTTGGTTTCACATCTGAGAGTATGTTGCCAGTCATAAACGACGCACGCCGTGGCTTAAGTTGTCACGGTGCGCAGTTATTTACGCTTCGCGTACTCCACATCAGCCCATCCAGAATCGAATATTAGACGGTTTGCCATACGAAAGAAAGTGAAGAAGCAGTAGTGAAACAAACAGAGAGGGGGGGGACCAGGCAAACCAAAGAGGGGATCAAGTTGGGCACTCCCGACAATGCCAAAGTTGGAACCTCTTGGATACATATTACATCCACTTCGGGCTCTCGTAGGCCCCTTTCAGGCATCTTTGCTAGGCACTCCTGGAGACTCCCAGAGGCCTCGTGTAGCCCATTTGGGAGTACACTCAGGGCCTGTTGAGTTATTGCCAGAGACCATCGACCAACAAAAAAAGAGAGACATGGAGCAATCAGCGGAATTGGTTTGGAGACCCAGAAACCCTCATAAGGGGAGTTTTGGAGGCTCTTTGTGGGTTTTTGTTCAGAGCCAGTGATGTTCTCTCTCGGCCTTTTATCGGCCCAGGTTAAGGCCATTATGAAGCTGCATGGCCAGTCGGCAGCAAGGACGACAAGCCGAAAATTAGTGGAATCGCAAGGACATGTCACTCGGCCGTCCCGAGGGCATCACTGGGAGAGGAGGAGGGGCACCTCAGGGAAATATTGGAGCGCGCCTGGGTCTGGGAGACCTCCTCCCTCCTCCTCCACATCTGGACCAGCTTGGGCCATCTTGCGAGTCTGCACTGCTCGATCCCCGGCGACACCAGCAGGCCTCCGTGCGCAGCGAGAGCCCCGACGCAGGCCAGCAGCTCGAACAAGACACATTGGACATTGGGCACCGCACGGACCCTACTCGTTGTGCTATTGCTGGGGCTTTACGCAGCGTGCCGTGCGACTCATGGACCACGTTGGCGTTCGTGGATTGGGCATACTTCATGCTAGACTGATCAGCTTGCCCGTACAGCTCACCGGACACGGTAGATGTTATCCAGCTGTTTCCAACAAATTGCGCCACCGTGCTAGCGCAGCATTCTGGGTGGCAGATTTTCGAGGAGGCTAGGATGTCTGATTGGGGCCTCTTGGGGCAGAAGGCTCGGATAGTTGGTTTGTGTTTTCACTTTGGGACATTTTGGGGACCGTCTTGGGGCCCTCTTGGGCGGTCTCGGGCAGACAAACAGAAACAACAACAACAACAACAACAACAACAACAACAACAAAACAACAACAAAACGACAACAAAACAACAACAACAACAACAACAACAACAACAACAACAACAACAACAACAACAACAACAACAACAACAGTAATAATTTTAAGACTATTCGTTTTTATCGGCTCGAGTGTCTGTGAACGCGTATTTCCCAAACCCTCGATACCCGCCCTCTTCGATCGTACCCCTTTTGGGGGGTAGACCTTTCTTCCTTGCAGGCTGGGCCCCGGCAAGCGGCGGGGCGGCCGCGGACCGTCGGCCTGGCCAGCGGCGGCGCTGATCGGCGGCAACCCGACCCAAAGAGGGACGGACAGGGGACCCACTACGACGACGACGACGACGACGACGACGACGACGACGACGACGACGACGACGACGACGACGACGAACGAAAGCGAGAGCGAGAGGGAGAACGACAGCAAGGCCACGAAGGGCACGAAGTAGGCCACGAAGGGCGACAACGGGGACACGAAGGGAATGCGTATGGGGCCACGAAGAGCGCGAACGAGCAGGGGCCACGAAGGGCAGATAATGCGGGACCACATAAGGCAACGACGGGGCCACTGAGGGTAGCACCTGGGACACGTAGGACAGCGAGGGGGCCACAAAGGGCGACAACGGGGCCACGAAGGGCACGCAAGTGGGGCCACGACGGGCGCGAACGAGCGGGGCCACGAAGGGCATACGTAGATTGGGCCGCGTAGGGCAAGGACGGGGCCACTGACGGCAGCAACGGGGCCACAAACGACAGCGAGGGGGCCACGAAGGGCGACAGCGGGGCCACGAAGGGCATGCATATGGGGCCCCGACGGGCGCGAACGAGCGGGGGCCACGAAGGGCACGCATCTATGGGGCCACGAGGGGCAGCGAGGGGGCCACGAAGGGCTGCAACGGGGCCACGAAGGGCAGCGAGGGGGGCACGAAGGGCGACAGCGGGGTCACGAAGGGCATGCATATGGGGCCACGACGGCGCGAACAAGCGGGGGCCACGAAGGGCTGCAACGGGGCCACGAAACAAAGCGAGGGGGCCACGAAGGGCTGCAACGGGGCCACGAAACAAGGCGAGGGGGCCACGAAGGGCTGCAACGGGGCCACGAAGGGCAACGAGGGTTCCACGAAAGGCTGCAACGGGGCCACGAAGGGCAGCGAGGGAGCCACGAAGGGCTGCAACGGGTCCACGAAGGGCAGCGAGGAGGCCACGAAGAGCTGCAACGGGGCCACGAAGGGCAGCGAGATCCCGATTCCTAAGTAATATGTGAGGGAGTCCTAAGCGTGAGCGCGACTCCAGGGTGCCTGAGTGTCGGGAGCGCGGCGCTTGAGTAAATTGCGGAAAGTTCCAACGAAACGGCGCTATTCTTGAGTAGGTTGCAAGCAAGTGTCCAGCGAGAGCGCGAATTCAGAGCGCCGATGAGCGAGTCCTGAGTCAATTGCAAGGAAGTCCCGAGCGAGAACGCGATTCCTGAATAGAATGCGAGGAAGTGTCGGGAGGGAGCGCGATTCTTCAATAAGTTGTGAAGAAATATCAGGCGGGAGCCGCTGTTGTTGCAAACGGGGGGCCATACACAAAGTTTGAGCCTCAAGATTTTCCCTGATAAAACACCGGGTGCGAGCCCCAGAAGGGGCACTTCAGTTGAAAAATACAATTTGCACCGGGCGGGGGATCAACAACAGTTATATTTCAGATATGAGAGTTCAACAACAACAACAACAACAACAACAACAACAACAACAACAACAAACAACCACGACAGCAGCAGGAGCAACAACCTTAACCTCAGCAGCAACCAGAACATCAACAACAACAACAACAGCAACAACAACATTATCAACAACAATAACAACATCATCAACAACAACAACAGCATCAGCAACAACTACATTCACAACCACAACAACAGCAGCGGCAGCAACAATACTACTTATTGTATGAGTGTTCGCCCACATCTGCTCGCGTGTCATTGAACACGTATATCTCAAACCCTCCGTACCCGCCATCTTCGTCTTCGATCATACCCTTTTGGGGGCATATCTTCCTTATTTGCCACGTGCATGCAGTGCAGCCCCTAAAACAGCGGAAGAAAGAGCGGATGGAAGTGGGAGGGGGAATGATGGAGCACGAGAGAAATTAGCAGGAGGGGGGCTAGGAGCAGAGAACACGTGGCAGAACCAGGCGGGCAGGCCCCAACGGCCCAGGCGTGAGCCTTGCGTGTCGAGGGCGCGGCGTCTAAAAGTAGCCTGGCGAAGGACCCAACCATTCGGAGATGTGAGTACCGCAATTGTGGATATCGCCCTCGGCGGCGGGGACGCATAGGAGCGTCGCCACTGGGGCTTTCGGTGGAGTCGCCTATGGGGCCACGAGCCGTGTCAGGAGTGTGCCGAAATCGGTGGCGGGGACGCATGGGAACGTCGCCACTGGGGCCTTCGGTAAAGTTCCCTTATGGGGCCTCGAACCGTGTGAGGAGTCTGCCAAAAATGGGTGGCAGCGACGCATGGGAATGTCGCCGTTGGGGCCGTAGGTGGAGCTCCGTATGGGGCCACGAACCGTGTGAGGGGTGTGCCAAAATAGGTGGCAGGGATGCATGGGAGCGTCGCCATTGGGGCCTTAAATGGCGGCATGGGGCCAAGAACCGTGTGGGGGGCGTGACTAAAATGGGTAGAGGGGACGCATGGGAACGTCGCCACTGGGGCCTTAGGTGGCGCTCCCTATGGGGTCACGAACCGAGTGACAGGTGTGCCAAAATGGAGCAGGATGGAGGATGGAGTCAGCACGATTGAAAGCAGGATGGAGGATGGAAGGGGAGGGGGAGGAGGACCCACCACCACAGGACGGTTGGGGAAAAATCGAGCGAGGAAGTCCCACGCGAGAGCGCGATTCCTGCAGAAATGCTGAGGGGATCCGGCACGAGATCGCGAATTTGAAATGAATTGTGCGGAAGTATCAGGCGGGAGCCGTTGTTGTTCTAACTAGGGGGCCAGCGGCCCAGTTTGGTGACACCCAGCTTTCCCTTGTAGAAAACTGGATGCGAGCCCCAGGAGGAGCATTTTGATTGAAAACAGAAGGGTTACCAGAAGGGAGCATCAAGAGTAATCATGCTCCAGAAATGAGAATCCAACAGCCCAAAGGAACAGAGGTCCTTGGTGAACCCGGCCAGGGGTCACTAATGCTACTGGCCCTCTTTAGGGGAACGAGCAATGTCACAAACATAAAAATTCGGGAGGTCCGCGCGGATTCCTCGGATCGGCGCTGGACCCCCCTCCCTGGCGCGCGGAGCGCGCCAGGGGCGGCACCGGAGGCGCCACCAGGGGGCCCTTGCGCGGATCCGAAAAATCCGCGCGGACCTCCGAGGTCTGAGGTTGTGTCATTGTTTCGGCCGTCCCCCCCTCCTCTTTGCCCGCCAGCCAGTTCGCCAGTTAGTGCCCCTTTCCAGCTTCTCGCCAGTGCGGACTTCGCCGCCTCGCCGCTGACGAAAAAAGTGAATGTCATTTTTCGTTCCCCTATCCTGCACAGGACGAACTTGGATCCTTTTGGGCAACGAGCAACGCGGTGTGGTCCGCCAGCCATCGGGGTGTTCGTGCCCTGTCTCGCGCGAAAACTGTGCAGCGCGAGGGCAGGACTTGGACGAGCAACAACCAAGCGCAGGCATGGACTGTTGCATCTGTTCGGTCTGCTTCGGTGTCGGGCTGTTCCGCCGCGAATTTTCCCCCCTTCCCCCTGCCTCGTTCGTTCTGTGACACCACACGTCCTTACTCATTATGTCCCTCCTGTCCTTCTCTTTCTCTTAGTCATCGTCTCCTGTCGCATCCGCCCTGTCTTGCTGTGTGGACTACGTGGACCAGATGCCTGTCGGACCCATCCTCGGGGTGCTTGCTGATGATACCTCAGCGCAGGATTCATACATCAGCTTACCTTGTTTTTGTGCATTGCGCTGTCAAAAGCAGTGCTTATTGGCACCCTCATTGTATTCGGTTTCAGGTCGGACAAGGTGCTACTGGTTAATGGTGCTGCCGCCTCATTTGTAGAATCGCGTCGGCGCAGAAGTGCAGGCGCTGGATCGCAGGTCGACCGGGGATGAGGTAGCATGGACATAGTAAGTGATCGAGCGGCAAGTGTCAAGGTGGAGACAGACACTATCTTACCAGCGAGCGAAGTCCTGCGGCGGGAGGAGGGGGGAGGAGGAGGCAGAGGGGGGAGGAGGGGGGAGGGGGAGGAGGGGGAAGGAGGAGAGGGGGGGAGGGAGGAGGAGGGGGGAAGGAGGGGGGAGGAGGAGGGGGAGGGGGCGCCGCCGCTCGCAGAGCGGCTCGTGGGGGGCACCTGCGTCGAACCCGCCCCTCCCCCTCAGCCAGGGGGGCCCCGGCCAGGGCAACGTGGCACGCCCGCAGGGCCGCACGCGGCCACGCCGCTCGGCAGGTGCCACTCGGCAGAGGCAGGACGAGCAGTCAGGAATGCACTCAGGACGAGCGGGCCGGTGCACGGCCACAGGCAGGGAAAAAGACGGTTCCCTTTTGCCCCACGTGGGCCCCTGCGACGGGGAGGAGAGGTCCGATTGGGATCCGCGGCGGGGGAGAGAAGCGGGGCACGGTGCCGAGAAAGGGGGGACGAGAGCCGACCCGTTTGCGCTCCCACGAAGACAAGTACAGACACGGGCAGCCAGACCAAACGAGACTGGGCCACTTCTCGGCGATTAGAAAGGGTATGTTTGCACCAGGGTGTGGTTTGCGATCGGTGCCGTTGGGGCCGGGTGGGCACGACATTGTCCTCGCCGGGCCTCCTCGGGGCGCGGCGGAGAGCTCTGTCGAGGTCCTCGCCCGTCCCCCAGGGTGCCTCCCAGGGTGCCGGTTGCAAACCACACCCTTCGGAGTCACCGAATTTCTCAAGGACGGGGCCAGAAGAGTTGATTCACGGCAGGGCAGATCTACCACAGCGGGGACTCGAGATCCGTGTGGGGGTTTTCAGACAGGGCTTCGCCTTCGACGGATCGAGAGTTTGTCTCTAAAGAGATACAACGTTTAAGGGATTCAGGGTTTCCGGAACCAGCCAGTCATTCTTCCGTTTGTTTGGGTTTTCAAGATGGGTGTGTCGACGTTGCGCTTTCTTGATTCCGCCCTCGTTTCCGCGTCTTTTGAGGTCTCCGTGATGGCCTCGTGTGACAGTGCGCGGGTGCTCTTGTGCGCGTGCCCGAGCACAGCTCGGCGCCCGACTGACGGAGCCCACGCACGAGAAGCCAACCTCGGGGGAGAAGTGGATGCTCGAGTATATGAGGCGTTCCATAAGGGACCTCGCCTTCGAGTGTCGAGAAGGGTGGGCATGTCTTCCTCAGCGGAAGGCCGGCGCGCGTAAAGCGAAGGTTGGCGGAAAACGGCGGAAGCAAAAAATGTAAGTCGGACATGTCCTTCGACAGAAGGAATTTACAAAAATATGCAGCAATTCGTATGGAAACGATTGTCCGACTATTTTTGACTAATGTTTTGTATGTTTTGACTATGGACTATTTTTGTCCAAACTCCGCCTGTAGGAGGACATGCCCGACCTAACAAAAGATGCGTCCCCAAGAGATGCAATGTATCTTGGATTCAGGGTTTCCCGAAACCGCCGTATGGAGCACATGCGCTCACGTGGACGCTGCGTAGCCCGTTGCAGTTGAGCCGTTGACGGGGCCAGCATTAGGTAATGTCGTCTCAGGGCAGTTTCGCCAGAGCAACCCCGACTTGGCACATGTTTTGTTACCTTGATTGGGCCATCAGTTCGCTGTCGTCCTACGATGCGTTTACTCTGGCAAGATGGGGAGGAGGAGAGGGGGCAGGGGAAGGGAGGGATGAGAAGGAGGAGAACGAGGAAGAGCAGGAGGAGTAAACGTCATGGATTGTACCTGACAGGAGGGGCGGCGTGTTCTGCGAGGCTGTCGGTCGGAGAGGCCGGCTGCCGTTGTTTGGTGTGATCTGGTGTTCTTAAGGTTGTTCCCGAATATATGCACGAAGATCATGACGAAACCAATGCGAATCGGCGCTGTACTACGTAGAGTTCTATGGGCCATCCTCGTTGCTCCTTTTGCTGGTTTGGCGACTTGCTGCATGTCCGCGAGCGCTGCAGGTGCCAATCGCCAGCTCATTGGCAACCACTGGTTCGCCAGCAGAGCCAAGGTCGCCCCTCGTTTCTGATCTGCAAGCCTCCTTCATGTCGACTGCCATCGAAGCAATTCGCGATTACAGTGGTTCAAGTGTGTTGACATGTATACGTTGTACCGACGAGGAGGGCATAGTTTCAAGCACTCCACGGCACATTCCTGGAACAGGAAGACAGGGAGGTGCCCCTATAGCGTTTGCACAGCGAGCTGGCTGGAATGTGGCATGATGGCTTCTACGGCGTAGCAGCTAGCAGCGAAATTGCAAGCAGGGGCGGAGACACACAACTGAGATCGGTCTTCATTGTGTGTTTTGCTGGGCCTGCGAAGGATTGCGGCAATAAAAAAAAATTACACGGAGCTCGTTCCTATTACGTTGTTCAGGGATGAACGCAAGCATGTTTGCCTCGGCATGTGTGGGCATGTGTTTGGCATGTGCGGTCACATTTCCCATAGACGCGCGGTAGTCCATTGACGTGCGCATTTGTGCGAGCATGTGCTTGATTTGTGCGTGGGATTGTGCGCAGATTCACCAGAGTTCCCGTTCGGATCGCGCTCCGTAGTTGATATTTGTTGATGTGCGGGCATGTGCGAAGATTCGGGCCCTATGTTCCTCATCCTTCACCTCTTCTTCCCCATCCCTTACATGTTGTTCGTCCCCCCCTCCTCTACTATCTTTGTCCTCTTTCGTCGTCCTCCTCCCACTCCTCCTTCCTCCTCCTCCTCCTCATCATCAACCTCCTCTTCACTATCATCCTCCTCCTCCCACTTCGCGTCTCATCCCTCCTCTATATTCTTCCTTCTGCCTCCTCTTCCGCCCGTTTCGTTCCTTTCCTCATCCACCTCTTCTCTCCACCTCATCCTCCATCCCTCGTCCTCCATCCCTCGTCCCACTCTGTCCCCCTCCTCCGCATCCCTCCCCATCCTCCTCGTCGTCTTCCCTACCTTCATCCCTCCTCATCACTCGTCCTCCCTCGTCTTCCCTCCTCTTCGTCCTTCTCCTCCTCCCATCGTTCCTCATCCTCCGTCTGGGCGCCTGGAGCTGTGCAGACACTGCGCCAGCATGTGCTCGGCATGTGCAGGACGAGGACGCAGCCAGGCACACGCTCTCGCCCCGCACATGCCGGGCACGTCTTTGATATAGCCTGGCGCGTAGTTTTGCACGGCTCCCAACACCCAGAGGAAGAAAGAGGACGAGGAGAGAGAGAGGGGCATAGATAATCCAAGGAGGGCGATGGGGAGAATGAGAGGGAGAAGGAGGAGGAGGTGCGTGCAGGGTTTGGTTCGTGGCAACGGTCGAGAGCTTGGTTATCCCCAGTGTGTGTGGCTGATGGAGATGTATGACGTGTGCGGGCATGTGCGGGGGGCCGCGGTGGCGTCCGAGCTGCCCCGCGAAATAGTGGCCAGGCGGGTGTGCACCGACTGTGCCGCATATGCGGCAAAACGAACACGAGAAGTAGGAATGAGCACATCACTGCCCTACCCTCTGCCCTCCCTCCCCCTCTCCAAAAGAGTTGCGCTGGAAACAAAATAGGAATGAGCACATCGGAATTGAACGCACTAGACGTGAGCTCTGTGCAGAAGTTGGCGGGGCAACGCCACGAGGCTTCGCGGCGCTCGGTTCCAGAGGACAGGGACATTCATTGCAGGAGTGGCGTAAATTTGCTCGCGTCGTACTTCCCAAAGCCATCCAGACTTGGTGCTGGGCTGCCCGATGCTGGTGCCGCCCCCGATTTCACGGGTTCCCCACTCTTTCCGGTCGGTGCTGGAGCCGGAGCGGTGGATAAGGTTGGCCATAAGGTCGGGAGATCCGCCCAAGCTACGCTCTTCCGCGCAATGCGCTTGCTGTCATAGCGCCGCCAGTAGGACCGCATGTTATCCGCATTGATGCGTTCAGGCTCCTCCTCAAGCCAATCTGTGGTGTGAACTTTCGTCATGGACTTGTCAGGCGTGTTCTGGATGATTAGAGGGGGATCGGTGTCGGCTTTCTGGCGCAAGGGACGTGTTCTGCTCCCGCCAGAGCGCTCCTCAGCCAAATGTCTACGACGGCATGCCCGCAACGGGATGGCGGCAATGAGCTCACTGAAGGCAACACAAGTTTTCTTCGATGAGTTCGTTGCCCCATGAAGTCTGTGCCTTCGGTGAGCTCCTTGCCGCCATCCCAGCGGAGAGCCCATGCAGCCTCTCGGGCATCGGGCTCGCCGAGCCGCGCGCGCGCGCAGATGGCCATAGACGAGAACTTGCACCGGCGGAGCTGGCGCCTTGCCGCCACCGCCTACATGCTGAACGAGTACGACGGGGAGCAGGAGACCCTCAGGGGCAACGACTCGGGGGGAGAGGCCTAGGGGAGAAGTCATCGAACCCCAATCACCCAGTCGTCGCTGACGGGGGGCTTGAGGGCCTATTGACGATGTATCGCCAGTTCCAGCTCGATGTTTCCCCCCCTGAGCTGGTCCGAGGAAGAGGAGGAGGACGAGGAGGAGGAGGAGGTGAAGGTGAAGGAGGAGAGGGATGCGGAGGACCAATGAGGAGGAGGATGTCTGATGAGGTGGTGGAGGAGGAGGAGGAGGAGGAGGAGGAGGGCGGAGGGCGGAGGAGGAGGGAGGAGGGAGGAGGAGGAGGAGGAGGAGGAGGAGGAGGAGGAGGAGGGAGGAGGAGGGGAGGAGGGGAGGAGAGGGAGGGAGGGAGGAGGAGGAGGGAGGAGGAGAGGAGGAGGAGGAGGAGGAGAGGAGGAGGAGGAGGAGGAGGAGGAGGAGAGGAGGAGGAGGGGAGGAGGGAGGAGGAGGAGGGAGGAGGAGGAGGAGGAGGGAGGAGGAGGAGGGAGGGAGGAGGGAGGAGGGAGGAGGAGGAGGAGGAGGAGGAGGAGGGAGGAGGAGAGGAGGTGGGAGGAGGAGGAGGGAGGAGGAAGAGGAGGAGGAGGAGGGAGGAGGAGGAGGAGGAGGAGGAGAAGCCCCCGACCTGAGCTGGTCCCCCCCATCGCTGCCCCTCAGATCCGCGCGGGTCGGCCTGGCACGCTCCCGCCGTGCGGCTGGCGGCCTCTGCCTGCCGACGGCCAGGCACCGTCGGGCCAGGCCGGGGAGCGGCTGACCGCTCTGCAGAGGGGACCGCATCGCTTCTACTATTAAGTCGGGCCCGTCCCTCTACAGGGGGAGCATTCCAAAATAGTAAAAATAGTCTGGGGACTATTTGTTTAGTGTGTGTTGAACCACTCGGGAGTATTCTTTTAGTATGTTTTATTTGTCGTCGAAAATCCCCCTGTAGGGGGACACACCCGACTTAATTCTACGACCCTCGCCAAAATTGACCTCAAAAATGGCGAACACCCCCCTGCGATGTCGGCGCGCCCTTCAATGTCGATAGACGCCCCTCCAATGTCGGGGCCAGGGCAAAGGTGGTCTGACCGGGAACGACTCGGAAGTTCGATGATGACCGACATTGGAGGGGCGGCGCATACAAGTACCTCGCAGTCATCGCTACTCTGTCCAGTATCTCCCTTCAAACAGTTCAGCTACGTAAGACATGTCTGAGGTTAATGTTGGCCAGGGTCGTAGGACTTGTCAGAAGCGCCCACATAACTTATCATCAGCATTATCATCATCAGCATCATCAGCATCATCATCAGAAGCAGCAGCATCAGCATCGTCACCTCCATCTCCATCATCACCATCAACATCATCTCCATCAGCATCATCATCATCGTTGTCGTCATCGTCATCGTCATCATCGTCATCATCATCCCCGATGTGGGAGGGCTCTGCATAAGCATCAGTACCATCATTATCTCCGTACAAACTCATCATCGCCATCATCATTATCATCATCATCATCATCAGCAGCAGCAGCAGCAGTATCAGCATCAACATCATCACTCGCCGCAGTCGTCACCATGATCATCCGATCATCATCAGTAGCAGCAGCAGCCTCATCATCAGCATTCGCCGCCGTCGTCACCATGAGCATCCGATCATCATCATCAGAGTCATCATCACCACCATCATCATCATCATAATCAGCATCATGATCTCAGCAGCAGCAGCAGCAGCATCATCATTAGCATCATCATCACCAGCGCTCGTCTCGCAGGAGCGGGGCAATGCCCATGCCTGCCCGATAATTGACAGCCTGTCAGCCACGGAGGGCAGGGAGCATCGCCAGAGAGTGACACATCCGACAGCTGCGCTGCAGCCCAGCTGATATGCGCAATCCGGATCAAGGGATTCGTCTGTGAGTAGCGTCGCTGTGCTCCGTGCGCCCGCGAGGACATTCTGCAGCGGCAAGAGGATCCGCGGGGCGGGGCGGCGACGCTGGGGCGCTGAGGAGGAGGAGGAGGAGGAGGAGGAGGAGGAAGAGGCCGAGAAGGAAGAGCAGCAGCAAGAGCAGGAAGAGGAGGTGGAGCAGGAGGAGGAGAAGGAGGAGAAGTACCACGGGGAGGAGGACGACGATAATAAAGGGACACATATATATACACACATACATACATATATATATATATATATATATACATACATATACATATATACATATATACATATATACATAATTATATATGTGTATATACAATGCAAATGTATATGAGTAGGCCCTGGCCCAGGCCGGTGCCTCCGTGAGGCACGGGGGCCAAGCGGACCTCGACCCGCCAAAAGCGCCTTCAAGGAAGCTGAGAGGGCATTGAAAAGGGCCCTGAAGGGGGCCCAGAGGGCACCAACACGGCTCCAGCACTCCTACCATAGCTTAAAGGCTGCCTACGTGGCTTCCAAGACGCCCCAAGAGAGCTTCAAACTCCGAGAGAGGCCCAAGGGGCGAAAATCGTTGACCTCCCTCGAGTTTTCCGAGGATTTTCGTGTGGTCGCCGGCTCCGCTGCCCGACGCCCGGAGACGACATAAGAGGCGTCTAGGAGGGCCCCAACACACGCCAAGAGGGCGCCAGTACGACGGCCCAAGAGGCGCCCAAGATGGCGCAAAATGGCCCAAGAGGCCCCAAGGCGGTGCCCCCCAATAAAGCCTGGACAGCCCGCCCTCCATTTTGATATTGCCCGCGAGGCATCCAATACGACCCAAGAATGCTCCAAACTTCTCTCCGAGAGAGCTCCGATAGGAAGAACTCATTGATTGTGTTTCGCTTTTTCACTGACTTTCAAATGGTCGCCTGGTCCACCCTACGGCGCTCGGAGACGGCACAAGAGGTGTCCACGAGAGAGCCCCAACACACCCCAAGAGGGCGCCGCATCGAGCCTCGACATCCCACAGGGGTTCTGCACGCAGCCATGGAGCCCACGGCGCCCCCAGAGGGCCTGACGAAGGCCTCCACGAGGCCCCCCACGCGGCCGCGACCATGAGGCTCCCAGGGAGCCTGTCCGGAACGCGATGCTCGCCGCCAGTCCTCGGAGCACGAGGTTTTCCAGCACTTCCCCGTTGTTGCTCGATCCGCTTGCCGACGCTCCAATCCTGCCCAAGGAGAGCCCAGGACTGCACCAAGACACCCCAAGGAGGGCACCAAGGCGGCCCAAGAGGCGGCCAAGCTGACCCAAGAGGCCCAAAGACGGCCCCCCGAGTGAGCCTCGACATTTTAAAATGGCTCGACAGGCGGCGAAGGAACCCCAAGACAGCCCCCCAAATGAGCCTCGACACCCCGCAGGGCCTTACAGAGGCCTCCACGAGGGCCCCAACCCGGCCGCAACCATCATGTTCCCGTAAAGCTTTCCGGGAATGTGATTGTCGCCGTGAGTCCGAGGAAATGAAGTTCCACGGTCGCAACCATCATGTTGCCAGAGAACGTTCCAGAAACGTGATTGTCGCCGCAAGTCATCGGAGGAGGACGAGGAAAAGAAGGTTCTCAAGCATGTTCCCGTTGTTGCTCGTTCCGCTTGCCGACGCCCCAACATTGCCCAAGACGCTCCCCTGATTGCATAAAAGCACCCCAAGAGGGATCCAAGAGGCGGCCAATCTGGCCCAAGGGGCCCCAAAACGGCCCCAAAAATGAGCCTCGACACATCTTAAAGGGCTCAATATGCGGCCGAGGAGCTCCAAGACAGCCCCCCACATGAGCACCGACACCCCAAAATGGCTTGACAGAGGCCTCCACGATGGCCCCAACACGGCCACAACCAGCATGTTCCCGGAAGCCCTTCCAGGAACGTGGTTGTCGTCGCCATTCGTCGGAGCAGAATGGTCTCAAGCATTTCCACGCAGTTGTTTGTTCCGCTTGCCGACGTTCCAACATTGCCCAGGGCGCTCCTCACATCGCACCAAAACACCCCAAGAGGCGGCCGATGATGATGATGATGATGATGATGATGATGATGATGATGATGATGATGATGATGACGATGATGGTGATGGTGATGGTGATGGTGATGGTGATGGTGATGGTGATGGTGATGGTGATGGTGATGGTGATGGTGATGGTGATGGTGATGATGATGATGTTGATGTTGATGTTGATGATGGTGATGATGGTGATGATGCTGTTGATGATGATGATGATCATGATGATGATGATGATGATGGTGATGGTGATGGTGATGGTGATGGTGATGGTCATGGTGATGGTGATGATGGTGATGATGATGATGATCGTGATCATGATCATGATGATAATGATGACCATGGTGATCATAATGATGGTGATGATGGTGATGATGGTGATGGTGATGATGATGACGATGATGATGACGACGAGGAGGAGGCGGAGGAGAAGGCCGAGAGGAGAACGGAGGACAGAGGCAGAGGATTGTTGATGATATGAGGACGACAAAAGGAGGATGAGTAGGAAAAAGAGAACGAGGAGGCCGGAGGAGGAGGGCAGACGGAATGAGGACATCGAGGACTAAGGTAGAAGCGTAACCTCTAGTCAGCCGTTGTTCTTTCCATCCTCCCTACCTTCCCTGTTGCCCAAAGACGGGCCAAGAGGCCTGCAAGAAGGCTCCCCCGCGGTTCAAACCATCGTATTTCCGGAGGGCCTTCCAGGTGTATGATCGTCGCCGCCAGTCGAAGGAGGAGGAGGAGGAGGACGATGAACGACGAGGGGAAGAAGGGTGCGGAGGCAGAGGACGAAAATGAGGAGAAAACGAGGAGGATGAGGAGGAACGAAAAATGAGGAGGCGGAGGGAAAAGAAGGAAGTCGAATCCCTATTCATCTGCTGATCCATCCCTCGTTCCCTTTCCAGTTCTCTCCCTGCTTGCTACATCGCAGCGCGCGCGCATGAGTATCTGAACAGAGTGGCGCGCAGAGTCACAAACTGCCATGTTACCGGAGAGGACCAGACAGTCTGGACGCGAACGGGCCAGTGATGCCACATTGGTCGACACCCTTCGGGAGGCCCAAATCCCTTGCCTGCCATATCGCTCCGCCGTGCTGCGCCGCGTGTTGCGTCGCAGCCGCGCTCTTGTTCGCCCTCCTTATCCTCACTAGTAGTGCGATACGGCGACAGCTCGTACTACTGCACCAAGCTGCTTGATGCTTGTTGCACAGGCAGCATCCACTGGTCACGGCAGTTCCCCCCTTCACGGGAGGATTAACCAATGAGCATTGCAGGCCTGCACGCCTGGATTTGCCCCCCCTCCTCCTCCTCCTCCCCCTCCCCCTCCTCCTCCTCCTCCTCCTCCTCCTCCTCCTCCTTCTCCTCCTCCTCCTCCTCCTCCTCCTCCTCCTCCTCCTCCTCCTCCTCCTCCTCCTCCTCCTCCTCCTCCTCCCCGATACCTACCCCGCCCGAGGGAGGTCGAGCCCCCGCCTCTCTCCCGAGGGCACCTCGCGACCCTCGGGTCGCCGAGCGCATCCAGAGAAGCAGTGCAGATCTGGGGAGCGGTACAGGGCTGAGGAGGGAGGGAGGATGAGGAGGAGGGGCGAGGAGGGAAGAGGGAGCCCTGCCGTGGTGTCCCGCAGGGGCAGCGGACCTGAGGGACTCTTGCCATCGCCAGTCTGGGCATACCCCCACCCCCACACCCGGGTATGCGGCGCATCCTTGTCTCCAGGGCCCTTTTATCCTCCTCATCCTTCCCTCCCTCCCTCCATCTTCCCGTGGCAGTCTATTGGTTGGTGGGGTCTGGCATGACATCTGATGGAGGCAATGTGCCATGGGGTTCTGATGGCCTCACTGCGGCGTCCAGGGTGTGCACCATGCCCCCCCCCCCCCAAGGGGCCTTACGAGTGGCCATGGGCCGTTTCGCGCCCAGCCGAGGCGCTTAAAATCAGGCATGGCAGCGTTGGCCTTAAAATCATCCCCTTTACTAAAGGGGATAACCACATTGCCGGACCCGTGTCGTTTGATGCGTGCGTTGGGGGACTGCACGGGGGAAGCTTCAGCCAGTCCACCTTGCAAGAAGAAGAGGGGGGCGAGGAGCACTTTTGGTCTGCGGGTCCAGAGCGAGCCTCTTCCGGTTAAGAGCTAGGCGGGCCACGCAAAGCACTAATTGGGGAGACAGGGCGCGGGCGGGCGGGGCCCTAGGCGGCCGCAGGGCGCGGGGTGCAGGCGGTGCTGAAGAGCTTGCACAGGAAAAGGTACGCCTTGGACAGGAGCCGGAGGCAAAGTCCCGGAGGGAGAGCGAAGTGGTGTTGCCGTCGAGGGGCGAGGAGCACAAGGAAGAAATGGAATGTGCACGGATCCTTGGGAAGCTCGCGGGGCGAAGTACCTCTTGGGGCTGCTGGGACCACCTGGATCTGTCCTTGGGCACCCTGGGAGTGCTTTGGCGCCCTGGAGCTCCTGGGCCCTTCCCAGGCTGTGCCTGTACGGTAGGTTCGTGTCGTGTCGACCGGCGGCGACCCCGCCAGCGGCGTTCAACGTTGAACGCCGCGGGCGACCCAGAGTCGTTGGATGTGGCACGACGTGGACGTTTCGGGAAGGGCCGATCGTTCAAGGTTGACCGATCCCCGCGGTGTCGGGAACCAACGCCGGGGTCGACACGACACGGACCTGCAGTATTTGGTTTACGCGGGGGCTCCTCGGGCCGTCTTGGCGCCCTCTGGGGCTGTCTCGTGGCTCCCTTTGGCCGTCCGAGCCGAGACGAGGCCCCCACTCCACTTCGGGGGGCGGCTTGCATCGCCGAGGCGAGGGCGCTGTGCCGGAGGGTAGAACCGAGGAAGCATCGAGCGGGAGCGCCGGTTTTGTTGGAGGGTTGGTTTCCGGCGGCAACAGGAACCCCAGCCCAAAGCAGAACGTGAAGAGGTCTTGGGCGGGAGCGTTGTTTTTGCACGGGGGTACGACCTGCAGCGCCTCGGCGAGAGCACCACTCCCGAGTGAAAAACGACAAATTGGAGCGGGGGCCCTAGTTTTGCTAGAGGGACAGATTTCGGAGTTCAGCAAGAACGCCAGTCGTGTGGCAAGAGGAGGGGACGTATCCAGCGGGAGCGCTATTCCAGGGGCGCCAGTATGCGGCGCCGAGGCGAGAGGAACGCGAGGAAGTATCGAGCGGAAGTTGGCTTTGTTGGAAGGCCGATTTTCGGCGACGAGCAACAGGACCAGTCTTGAGTGAGAAGCGAGGAAGTTTCCAGTGGAAGCGTTGCTGTTCTTGGGGGGCCGGTTGGGCTCAACCCTGAAATGTTCGAGCGTGAGATTCGGTTTGAATGGAAATGCAGCCAGCGCCGAGGCGAGAGCGCCAGGACGGATCAAGGGTGTTTGACAATAAAAGGTGTTTTGCAATGAAGATTCAACAAGAATTTCAAGATTGGTCGTTCTTCGTTGCTCACGTGCCACTCAACATGCGTAGCCCGAAAATAAAATACCCCCTTCTGTATCTTCGATCGTACCACCTTTGAGTAGTAGATTTGTCTTGCCTGCCACGTGTGATTGACGCTGCCCCTGAAATAGGAAGATGAAAGAGAGAGCGAGGCAGGGAAGGGGAAAAGATAGGGGAGGGGGGCAAGAGGGAGGTAGGAAGATTGACGACGAAAGACAGCTAGCAGGAAGGAGAGAGGAACGAGAAAGAGGAGGATTGGCAGGCGGACCCTGACGGGCGGGTCGGGCGGGCGGACCGTCATGGGCAAATCGGGCGGGCGGGACATTTTTAAGCGATGGGGCAGGCTTCCAAGCAAGCGAACGGGCGGACCATCACGAGCGAATCGGGAGGGCGGACCCCAACGGGCGGGCCGGACGGGCGCAAGGAAGCGAGCGGGCGTGCTTAGTCAGCAAGTCGCAGGCGAGAGCGCGATTCTTGAGTCAGTCGCGAGGAAGTCTCCGTGCGAGAGCGCGATTCCTGAGCAAATTGCGAGGACGTCTCAAGGGAGAGGGTGCTTCTTGTAGAAGCTGGAGGGAAGTATCAGGCGAGAGCCGTTTTGTAGGGGTAGTTCGGGGGGGCCAGGGGGCAGTTTGAGCTTGAAGACCTTCTTTGGTAAAAACAGAGTGGGAGCCTCGGGTGGTGCACTTTAATTGAAAAAACAAAACAAAAAACAAAAAAACAAAAAAAACAAAACAAAAAAAAAAAAAAAGCGCGCCAGACAGGCTGTGATCAACCATAACTGTTTTTTTTCATAGGTGAGAGTTCAGCAACAATCGTTTCAAGACTCCCCCTCTTCCTTCTAATCTCCCTCCTCCTCCTCCCCTTCCTCCTTCGCGGGATGAGCGGAACGAGGAGAAGGGTGAGGAGGACGATCAGGAACTGGAGAAGAACGGGGGGCGAGGGATGAATGGGAGGAGGAGAAGGAAGAGGAAGAGGAGGAGGAGGAGGAAGAGGAGGAGGAGGAGGAGGAGGAAGCGCATGAGGAAGGGGAAGGAGAAGTGGGTGAGTAGCGGGGGACGTGGAGGAGGAGGAGGAGGAGGAGGAGGAGGAGGATCTGGCCCGAGGGGCTTCCTGCAAGGGGGGGCCAGCCGACGTCGGTTCGGCTGGAGCCAATCCAAGGCAGTCTGAAGTCTTGTCCTCTCGCAGAGCGTCGGGCCACCACAAAGCTGCCCGCGGCACACTCACTCTGCCCAGGCTGACTCTTCGCTGCTGGGCTGGAAGGAGGCCAGGAGGATCTGGGCGATCGGGAGTGGCAGCAGCTGGCACATCTATGTAGTGAAGGAGTTGAGCAGGAAGTGGAGGAGCGGCTGCAGCAGAAAATGTCCCATTGAGTTGCCATCTTGTGCATGAGACACATGATTCGGCTAGCAGCAACGATAACCAGGTGCCGTGCCCGCATCAGCGACAACGATGGCGTCGCCCTCGCAGCATGGAATTGTACGCGAGAGGCGACCGTAAATCTTCGATTGCCCCAGAGGACACGCTGGTCAGGCGAGTGAAACAGCTGGGAGGCACTGTCGTCGATCTGAACGACTCTTCCTCCTTTTTAAGCAGATTAGGACGTTAGGGGCAGTGGCACATCTCTTCACAGTTTTTGGATGTGTGATTTAAAGGATCATGACCACTGCTCGTCCGCCGCCAGCCAGCTCATACTGTGCCTCTTCTGCCAGCATCCGTGGCTCTCTCAGCCTTTGGTATCGTGACTGTGGTGCGTGGCCAAGTATTGGCCACCCTGACTGCGCATGCGGAGGAGGAGGAGGAGGAGGAGGAGGAGGAGGAGGAGGAGGAGGAGGAGGGGGAGGAGGAGGAGGAGGAGGAGGAGGGGGAGGAGGAGGAGCAGGAGGAGGAGGAGGAAGTGCCAAACCCGCGAACCCTGCGCGTCGAGTCGCAGACCACGTGGCGAACAGAAGTTTCCGGAGATCTGCGCTGCGGCCTCGGGGCGGCATTGGGCCGCCCCCCCCGCGGCGCCTCCAGCGCCGCCCGGTGCGTGCTTCGCGCGCCAAGGGGGGGGGCCCCCTCTCGAGGAGGAGGAGGAGGAGGAGGAGGAGAAATCCACGCGGGCCTCCAAAATCTTATGCTCACGCAGTTGGCTGCTATTCGAACGCAACTGAAGCGCCAAGTTCGTAAGCGCCTCGGGCTTGGCGGGTTGTGTTCCGAGATGGTCCGCCCCCGGAGCTCGCAAGGCATCCCAGAGCTCCTCGGTGCGCCAGGTCATCCTCGGAACCAGCATAGGCTTGTGTTGTTTGGTTTTCCGAGTGTGCATAAGCCATTCCCAGATCCCCGGTATGATTTTGTTCCAATGAGGATACGTGTTTGGTTGATCCGTCGTCTGGAAAACGTTATCGGGCCTCGGAAGCATGAATTACTCGACGCGGAAATCCCCAGATGTGCATCTCATACGTTTGCCACGTCTTGATGAGGAGCTCTGTTTATGAGCACCTGGATGTTAGAGCGAACCCGCATATACGACAGGCGCGGCAACCACGACGACGACGACAGCGACGATTTCAGTGACGTTTTCCACCTCTGGACATATTTCAGAGGAGACGAGGGGAACAAAAGCGGAAGAGCGAAGGGTTTGTTTTTCTTGCTGGTCTCCCCGCGGCAATTCAAGCAAGCGCGCATGGCGTTGCTACGCCCGCCCTCTGGCGTGCTACTCGCGGCGCCTGATGGCGCTTGGGGTGCCCAAGGGCCACGCTGGCTATATCGCGGTAGCCAGTTGCATCTGAGTCTTAGTGCAAGTGAGTTCGCACGTGGGTGATCTGAGTGTGAGAGAATCGGAGTGTGAGTGGGTCTGGCGACGACTGAGGCTCAGTCTGGGCGAATTTGGATATAGTCCGTTTGAGGTGCCTGGGCCGCGGAGCCTCCTGAGAGCCTCCGGAAAGGGGGTGGAGGGTCCAACTGTAAGTCCGAGTTCTTCCTTGTGGGGGGCCTTTAGGAAGTTTCTGGGGCCTTGGACGGGTCTCGGGGACCTGGGCTAATTTTGGACGAGTCGAATACGCGAGAGCCGATCAAATGCCCAGAGGATTTAATGATTTGGGTTTTTCGGGCTGGCCCCCTGGGCTTCCAAGACAGCCTCAGAAGCCACCACCGCGATCGATGTTTCTTAACTGTTTGGGATATGTCCTAAAATGTTTTGCGACGAAGTTGGAGTCGGTTTGGGCGGGTTTGGCTTCCCAGAGGCCCACGCGAGAAGCGCCGAGAGCGCCCAAGAGCGCCTAGGACTTCAGGCACATTTGTGGTATTAGCCCTTCCGAATATTTTGAATCATCGTAACACGCATACGTATGAACAGTAGGACACTCCAGTGTGTGCTGAAAGCACGGTGGCGGATACCAGCTTAAGAACATGTGCTTGTCAAAGCATAAGTTGGAATATCGTTTTTCTTCTAGTCGGATTATTGTGGCCACTGCCGTTATCGCGATCACCTTGGCAGAAGACATTCCATGCGGCAGCAGCCCGGCATAAAATTGTCTCGACCGCGCATGGACCGCGAGGGCCAATGCGCTCAAGGATCACGATGACCGACGCGCGCAGAAAAGCACGCGCCGGTTCCGACACTCTCTTGCATTACTGTTTAGCTCTCTCTCTCTCTCTTTCTCATCCCTTCGGGAAGGGAAGTAAATTATCGCCTCCCTACCCCACCTTCGATTTTGGAGGCGGAGGCAACTTTCGCGCGATCGCCTGGCAACAGCACTGCCAGAAGCCCGTGCACCATGCAGGGCTCTCCACGGGATCCTTGATGGGCTCCTTGGCTTGTGGATTTCGGTACCCCGTTGTCGTTGCAGTCACACGTTCATGCGGATGGCGCGCGCAAAGGAAAGGCGATCAAGAACATGCTTCACACAGGGCCCTCATCCCTGCAAGCCCCAAAGGCGTTCCGCGCGGAAAATGCGAAGCCGCCTCTTTGTGTATAACGTGCCACCCAGTACGTTCAGATTCTCTCATCTGACCCACTTGCGGTTCCTTGCCGTGGTGCGTTCCGCATCGAAATCGTTTGGAAAAGAGCCAGTTGTTAGTTCGGGTAGTGATTTTGCATTCTGAATGTTAACCATAAAACAAGCGTGCTCGTATTCATCTAGCGCCGCATTGGAAATGCGGGGTTGTCTCTAGCGTTGGCAGATTTGTTGCGTCAATGTGGTGGGGGAAGTGCTGGGGTGGGCTCACATGCAGATCTAAACTCGAGCACATAGCCCTTGCGTTCTGCACCGACATGTCGGGGTGAGAACTCATTCAATCACCTCGATATGTGCTTCTAGTTGTTTCACTCCGATGTGGACAGTTAAAGGTCGCACATAGCTGTGAGTTTTGGCACACTTCAACCGATAACAATCGAAAGCGAAGCGCTTGTCGTCGCCACGGTGGCCACCAACCTCAGCTGCCCCCCCGCCATCCTCTTACTTATGCTCTCGGTCCTACCAATGCGGATATCCACCCTGACGGACTAGCTCAGCATGTTTCATGGCCATAGCCATCGTTCAGCATGCTTCCAGGACGTAGCATCGCCAGAGTTCATTGTGTTTGCTCGTTATGGCCCCCGGTGTATTTCTGAATCAGTCAAGTGAGTCTTGGCCGTCATGTCCATCGACACATTGTATTGTTGGTAAGCATGTTTGCAGTGATCTACCATAGGGCTATACATCTGCAGCCATGTTCACAGGCGGCTCTGGTTCGCAATGACGAGCTCGTCGTATGTCTATTTGACAGTCGGAATCTGCGCTGCTGTATTTCTCACATTCGCATGGAAATTCGGACCTTTATTTGATCACTTCCGCGAGCACAAGCAGTGGCCAAGGCTGCGGGCAGAAATCGTTCTAATTACGATTGGATTGGAGCGGGACCGGGAATTGGCAGCAGGTAGAGAATTGCTATGACTCTTCTCGTTCTAATTCGGGGCGTGTTCTTGCGAGAACTTTGGTCGAGAGTGGAGGGTGGTGAAGGGAGGCGGGCGAACATCAGGTTAGCGAGTTGAAGGCCGAGGTCAGCGAAGCAGGGCGAGGGAGGGAGTGGCGTCACAAGCCCCAACCCCACGAGATTGGACTTCAATCGCCCCCATCTCTCATCACTCACATTGCCTTTCTTTGTGGCCACACGGTGTTTGAACCGAATGCGTCAAGGGTAGGGATGCATGGGGAGGGGCAGGGGGGGCGAACGCCCACACGGTCCCGCTCATAGTATCCTGCCCCTGCTTGCCCTGGGCCGATGCTCATAGGGTCCTTCCCACAGGGTCTCCCTCCTCCTCCTCCTCCTCCTCCCCCTCCTCCTCCTCCTCCTCCTCCTCCTCCTCCTCCTCCCCATCTTGTCCGCAGGGTCTCACCCTTGGTTGCCCTGAGTGTGGGGGGGGCCGGGTGCGGCCGTCGCCTTCTGGCTGATGGGGTCCCGCCCTTGGCTGGCCCAGGGCGCGGCCCTTGGTGAGGGGGTGTGGCCGGCGCCCATCGTGTCTCGCTGGCTGGTCGACTACACGTAAGGGTGACCCTTCGCCGGAGTGACCTTTGGCGCTGGCCCAGAGGGAGTCGGGTGATTCTTCTTGTGGAAGGAGCTTGACCTCGCGTCGGCACCCGCATCGCGTGATTACGCTCGCATCTAAGCGCGCTACAACCCGGCAGGTTTGGGCCCACCCCTCGAATCAACAGCAACGCACACCGGGGTCCGCCCACCGGGGTTCGCCCACAGTGCCCCGCCCATCGGGTCCCATCCTCCAGGGCCCCGCACAAATGTGCACGCCGACAGGGTCTCGGCGTTGGTGGCTTTGCGTGCCCCCTTGCATTGTCTCGGGACCACGCGCTGGTATCGTAGCAATCGCGTGCCGACGTCGAGAACAGCGACGCCGATCGGGTGGTTCTCCCCTTGGAAGCAGACTCTGGACTGAAGTCGGGCACGTCCTTCTACCGGAGGGATATTCAAAGATAGTCCAAAAATAGTCTGGGGACGACTTTCTGACTACCCGTTGTACCATTTTGGAGCATTTTTTTAATGTGTTTCATTGTTCGTCCAACATCCCCCTGTGGGAGGACACGCCCGACCTAATTCTGGACATCCCAGAAGCCACGAGCGTTGAAAGATGACGTTGCCAGGTGCCAGCAGGGCGGCCCGGAAGGGCGCAGCCAGCGCGTCTGAGCGCAGGAGTGCGTGGGCAGCTTCGTCTCGAGCGCAGACCTTTCCTCCACGGAAGACCAGGGCCAGGCCAGGGTTCGAGGCGGCGGTAGCCCAGCGCGTTACCAGGGCAATGCATAGGCACAGCTCAGACACGCACCCGATGTGTTCTGCGATTGTTGCCCACTCTATTCGTTCCCACCTGTTGTCATGCTGACGGCCTTGCCCATATCCGTCCGCGGCCAGCGTTTCCCAATCTGCACAGTCCTTGAGGCTCTGGCCCCCACAGGCCGCAGTCCCGCCTGTGGGAGCTGCAGGGCAAGTTCCTCGTGGTGTTCTTCCTATGCTCCACGGCAAACTGGCTGCAGGTGCCCCGCGAATCCAAATTGTTCGGACCCACCTTGATCGCAACCTCCCGAATGGGTAGTGTCGGCCCTCACGGGCTTCTCCACGCAGGAAACGGTTCGACCCCCAGATAATGAGTTCACGAGATGACCTTCCGAGTTCCAAGAGCAGGGCTACTTGTTCTTGAGGTGTTGTTGTTGTTTTTCTGGGCCTCAGCTAATCCTAGAGGCGCACAGTATTCTGCCGACAATCGAGAGGATTTGTATAAGTAATTGGTGGTATCGTTCCCGTCGTGGTGCATTGGGCGTGCGGGCATGCATGTACGAGCAAGTGCACGCAGCATGAACAAGCATGTGCGCGGTGGAGGTTAAGATGATGGCCTCCATCAAGCTAGCGCTCTGGTGAAATCGCGTTTCGCATGTTGCGTCCATGTCGTGCGTGCGAAGTTGTGCACAAGATGCAGTTATTCCCGCCCTTCCTCCTGCATCCTCATCGTATTACATGTCATGTTCGCAGTGTGCTTCAATGGCATCCTGAATTACTGGTATCAGCGGGGTCAGTGTAGCCGCCGTTCGTGTTCGTGCCAGATGGCTCTGGTCTTCCGTGGTTGCATTCAAGCTTGCTCTGACTGGGGGGAACGCAAAGAGGGGGCGGAGGAGGACAGGAGGAGGGCGGTAGAACGGGGGAGGTGGAGAGGAGGGGGAAGGGGCGATTGAGCGAAGGGGCAGTGGGTGGAAAGGAGAGGGGTAGGAGGACAAGCTAGGTGCGCTCGCACCATATCTGACATCCGATCCGTCCCTCCCATTCCGTCCCATTGCGCTTATGTGTCCCTAACCGCGGACGCGTGTCATAGCCGACCTGGCACTCCAAAAAAGGCTCCTTCGTTTTACGCGCAATCGGAAAAGGGGAGCTGCGTTCATAGAAGGAGGAGGTTGCGGGTGAGCAGGAGGATGAGCAGGAGGAAAAGGATGAGGATGAGGAAGAAGGAGGACGAGGACGAGGACGAGGACGAACAGCAGCAGCAGGAACTGGAGTGGAAGGAGCGGGAAGAGCAGGAGGACCAAGTGAAGGCGGAGGAGGGGAAATGAGGGCGGCGGCAACGATGAAAAAGGGCTCGGATCCAGAAAAGTGGCCCGCGTTGGGACGCGAGCGCCATCCTGAACGACGCTAGCAAAGCGCCGATCCAAAAATGAGGCTCACGTTGCAGTGGCAGCACCACTATGAAACACCGAAAACCATCGGATTGTAAAAGCCATACAGAGAAAAACCTGTTGAAGTTTTGCGTGTAAAAACCATTCGCGAGGAGGGCTGGATATATTGCGGGCGGAGTCGGGGTAGAGAGGAGAGTAGTGCTCAGATTGCGGAATGGAGGAGGAGGAGGAGGAGGAGGAGAAGGATGGGGGGGAGGAGGAGGAGGAGGACGTGTGCTCTCGATTCTCCTGGGCGCACCTCGCTTGATTACGCGAACTGCCTCTGGTGGTCGTTGTGATCCCGCATGCCACCAGTTCGGCAAGCACCAACGTCCAACCCATGAGCTGCACTTCCCAAGACTTTGCCACCTCAGGGAGCAATGGTCGTCAGTGGGAGGGTGGAGGAGAATGGCGGACGAAGAAAATGGTGACATCTCAATTATGAACATGATGGCGCCATCTTGTCTGCGCGTGGGTCGGACGGATCCTTGCTCACCGAAGGGCGCGCCCCGATACCAGGAATCGGGTACCCGCACGTGGGCCTTTGGGCTCCCTGCCGGCGCCCGCATGACAGGGCTCTTTCTACGACTCTAAGAACTAATTGACCCGGACTGCCACAGATCTAGCTTGCCGCCGACAGCCCCGTTGAGGACAGAGCTCCCGTGGATGCCTTTCCAATTGAAGACGGGGCGCGCGCTCGCACAATCCCCCCCGCCCCTCAAAGCGGGGCCCCCCCTTTCCCCCCATTGGGCCACAAAGGGGGGGGAGCAGGGTTTCGGGCCCCCTTTGCGCCAGAGAGGGCTCGGGGGGGGACTTCTCTGTGTCATGCCAGAGGATCGTGAGCGGCAGGGATTTACATCGTGAAAGGTGTACATCGGGGTGTGCAGAGAAAACACGTGAAGGTTGAAGGCTTGAGAAAGCGATGTTGAGATCAGCAGATCTGCACCGCATAGCTTCTGTCGCAGAAGATCGTGAGCGGCACAGATTTCCATCGTGAAAGGAGTTGGTCGAGGGTATGCAGGAGAGCATGTCATTTACATAGGATCGTGAAGGTTGAAGGCTTGAGAAAGCGAGATCAGCAGATGTGCACCGCATAGCATTTGTTCCAAAGGATCGTGAGCCGCACAGATCTCCGTCGTAAAAGGTTCAGATCGGTAATGTGCACAATGTCGACGACGACGACGACGACCAGAGAGTTAACGTTATGTGTATAATGTATGTGGCGTCGCTTGACATGTTATCTTTTTTGAAAACGTGTTATTTGACTGGCTGCGGCCTTGCCTGATTCGTTACATTATGATTGTGCGCACCGCTTCACTATGATTGCACACCGGCTTTCGCCAATCGTCGTCGTGTTACCAGGACTTGTTATATTGTGTCTAACATAAGCTTATAAGGCCACATTATGTTGTATGGCCCGTCTTGCGGCGACCGTGGGCCGTCGTCTTGGGCAGCATGTGTTCGCGAATGGTTTAGATGTTCTTCAAGGGTGTCGATCAGGATGTGCCGAAAATCATGTTATTTGCGTCGAGTCGCGACGGCTCAAGGCCTGAGAATGCGAGGTTAAATTCAGCAGATGTGCACCAGATGGCATTGTTTCCCAACCCCCCTGCGTTGGATTCCCGTTTTGAATAGAGCATTGCGGTCGCGACCTTCTCGTCCCGCCCCCTCCCCCTGTCCCCTCCCACTTGCCTGCCACCCTGGCTCCTACCTCGACGTCCTGCCCGGGGGCTTGTTGGGAGCCTGCGAACTGCGAAAGTGCCGCCCCGTCCGAGGCGTGCTCTTGGGCCCAGTGAAGTGACGCCTTACGCAGAGATTAGACCCCGCCAACCCTGCGGGGCTGCGAGCTCCAAAACTGCCGCCACGTTCGACGGCTGCCGGGGGGGGCTAGCGGGGTGGCGCTTGACCAAGATTCGACTTCGTCGTCCTTGGGTGGCTGCGACCAGCGGAAACGGCACCATTTTCGAAGGCTGCTGGAGGGGCCCAGCGGAATGAAGCCCTGCGCAGAGTTAGATTTGACCTCGCAATCCCTGGGAGAGGTTGCGACCTGCGAAATTGTCGCCACGTTCGAGGGCTGCGGAGGGGTCCAGCAAAGTGGTGCGTCACGCAGACCCACAGTAGACCTCGCCATCACCAGGGGGCTGCGAACTGCAAAACTGCCGACGCTTTCGAGGGCTGCTGGGGGTCCAGCGGAGTGACGCCCTACGCTGACGTTTACTAGACCTCGCCATTGTTGGGCGTTGCGAACTGCGAGGCGGTCAACACTTTCGAGGGGTGTTCAGGGGGAGGTCCAGCAGAGCGACGCCTTACCCAGACCCAGAGTCGACCCCGCCATCCTTGCGGGGTTGCGAACCGCGGGCATGTCACTGTCGAGGGGCGTTGAGGGTCAAGCGGGGTGATGCCTTATGCAGACTCAGACTAGACCTCGCCATCTTTGCGGGGCTGCGAACAGCGAGAAAGCCACCATGTTTGAGGGCTGTGGGGGGGGGGCAGCGGGGTGGCGCCGAAAGCAGGCCCAAAGTAGACCTCGCCATCCATGTGGGGGGGCTGCGAACTGCTAAGCTGCCGACTTGTTCGAGGGTTGCTGGGGGGGGCTCCAGCGGAGAGGCGCCTTGCGCAAACTCAGGTTAGACCTCGCCATCGCTGGTGGGGTGCGAACTGCAAGCCTGTTGTAACGTTCGAAAGCTGCTGGGAGACCCAGCGGACTGACGCCTTACGCAGACCCAGACTGGACCTCGCCATCCTGGGGGAAGGGGGGCGGCGAACTGCGAAGCTGTCGCCGCTTTCGCTGGCTGTTGGGGGGGTCCAGCCGAGTGACGTTTTACACAGGTTCATGTTTTACCTGTGGTGGGGGCTACGAGTTGCGAACCTGTCGCCACGTCCGACGTCCGAGGATTGCTTGCGGGCCATGCGGAGTGACGTCTCACGAAAACTCAGATTAGACCTCGCCATCTTCGGGGGGGGATTTGCGAACCGATCGTCACTGCCGAGGGTAGATGGGGGTGTCTAGCGGAGTGGCGCCGTACGCAGATCAGATTATGCCTCGCCATCGCCAGGGGGCTGCGACTTGCGAACCTGTTGCCACGTTCGAAGGCTGCTGGGGGTCCAGCGGGGTGACGCCTTACGCAGACCCAGGTTGGACCTCGCCATCCCTGAGGGGGGCAGGCACAGCTGCGAACTGCGAAGCTGTCGCCGCTTTCTGGGGGGGCTGCTGGGGGGTCTATCGGGGCGGCGTCATACGCAAACTCAGACTCGATGTCGCCATCTTTGGGGGGGCTGCGGATTGAAAAACTGCCGCCGCGTTCGGGGGTTGCTGGGGGGGGGTCCAGCGGAGTGACGCTTTACAGCAGACTCCGTTTAGACGTCGCCATCCCTGGGGGGGCGGGTGGCCGCAAACTGTGAAGCTGCTGTCATGTTCGACAGTTGCCGGGGAGTCCAGCGGGGTGCTGCCTTATCGCAGATCCAAACTCGCCCTCGCCATCCCTGGGGGGCTGCCAGCTACGAACCTGTCGTCACGTTCGAGGGCTGCTGCGGGGTCCGGCGGGTTGACGTTTTACGCGGATTCAGGTTAGACCTCGCCATCCTCGGGGGGGTACGAACGGCGAAGCTGTCGCGGATCCAGAGTAGCCCTGGGAGGCTGCGAATTGCGCAATTGTGTCCACTTTCGTGGGCTGCTGAAGGGTCCAGCGGAGCGACGCCCCACGGAGACTCGGATAAGTTGTCGCCATCCTTGGGGCGGGTGGGTGGGGGAGCGAACTGTGAAGCTGAAGCTGTCGCCACCTTAGAGGGTTGCTGGGGGTCCAATTGGGCAACGTCGTAGATTCAGCGCCTCGAATTGTCGCGGCGCCCCCGCCAGTTCCCAGACCCTCCCCGCGGTGGGCGAAGGCTTTGTGAGTCGTCCAACGGGCTGACATCCCATCCAGCTTGCGCAACACCTGACGGTTCCGACATTGCCATCATCCGTAACCATGCGGGTCAATTAACTTGTCCATTTGATGCAAATGGGTTGGGCACGTCACAATTGCTGTTGCATCGGATCGTGAAGGTTGGATTTCCGTCGTGGCGGATTCAGATCGAGGATGCGCAGATCAGCATATCATGTGACTGGGACTGCGAGGGTTGAAGGCTTGAGAAGGCGATGGTAACAGATGCCGAGATGCACCGCACCGTATGTTGTCTCAATCCTCCTGTGTTAGGTTCTCTTTTGAATAGAGCACTGTGGTAAGTACTCCTTCTGCTTCTCCTCCACACACCCCTCCTGCGCTGCTCCATGGGTGGCCGTTAGCTTCGCAACTCTCGCCACTTTCGCGGGCTCCTCGGAGGTCCATCGGGGTGGGGGAGTACGCGCACCCAAACGAGACATCGCAGTTCCCTGGGTGGCTGCGAACTGCGAAACGGTCGTCACGTTCGCGGGCTCTTGGGAGGCACGACGGAGTAAGGGGAGTACGCGCACCTAGCCGAGACGTCGCAGCTCCCTGGTGGGCTGCGAACTGCGCAATTTTCGCTACTTGCGTGGGCTCCTGGGGGGCACGGCGGAGTAGTGGAGCACGCGCACCCATCCGAGACCTCGCAGCTCCTTTGGGTGGCTGCGAACTGCGCAACTGTAGCCACTTCTGCGGGCTCCCTGGGGGCACGGCAGAGTAAGTAGGGGAGTACGCGTGCCCACCCGAGACCTCGCACCTCCCTAGGTGGCTGTGAAATGCGCAATTGTCGCAATGTTGTGGGCTCATGGGAGGCACGGCGGAGTAGGGGATCACGCGCACCCAGCCGAGACCGCGGGGTGGTTGAAAAAAGCGCAACCGGTTGCCACTTTCGTGGGCTCCTGGGAGGCACGAAGGAGTAGGGGAGTACGCGCACCCAGTCGGGACCTCGCAGCTCCCTGGAGGGGCTGCGAACTGCGCAATTGTCGCCATTTTCGTGGGCCCTTGTGAGGCAAAGGGGAGTACGCGCACCCAGCCGAGACAAAGGTTGAAATCTTCAGGCTTAGATCTTAGGGCTTAGGGCTTAAGCCTTAGAGCTTAAAGGCTTAGGGCTTAGGGGTAAAGCTTAGGGTTAGGGTTGGGCTTTGGGTGTTAGGGTTAGGATGGTAGGCTTAGGGTGTTATGATTAGGGTGATAGGGTTAGGGTGTTCGGCTTAGGGTGTTTGGCTTAGGGTGCTAGGATTAGGGTGTTAGCCTTCGGGTGTTTGGGTTAAGGTGTTAGGGCCAGGGTGTTAGGGTTCGGGTGTTAGGGTTGGGATTCGGGTATTCGGTTATTGGTGCTAGGATCAGGCTGTGACGCTTAGGCTGTCAGGGTTTGGGTGAGGGCGGTAGGGTTCGGAGTAGGGTGTTAGTGCTGGATGGGGATAGAGTGTCAGAGTTCGGGTGGTCAGGGTGTTAAGGTTACGGTTTCCGGTTTCGGATATTGGGTTTAGGGTGTTCGGCTTAGCGTGTTGGAGTGTCAGGGTCAGGGTGTTAGGGTTAGGGTGTTGGGGTTAGGGTTAGGCTGGTAGGTTTAGGGTTTAGGGTTCCAGAGCTAGGGGGCGCCAGAGCCAAAGGGAGGAAGGGGGCGTCCGATTTCTGAGTCCAAGAGGGGGGGTTCAAACTCCCTTCCCCTCCTTTTGAAAGGGTGGGGGGGTCCAGGACGACGGACTGGGAAAGGGGAGGGGGGGAGGGTCCCAGTGGGGGGGGGGTCCCAGGGCGACGGACTTGGGAAAGGGGGGGAGGGGGGGGTCCCGCACCCTCCCAACATCTGGGGCATCCAGAGGCGTACCTTCCCCGTCTAGCCCACCACTAACCCCGTGCGATGGAGAGTCGCCGGTTCCAGCAGACCTGCGCCTCGGAGCGCCGCCGATTCCGCTATCATCCACGAGCCCAACCCGGCCCCAGTTAACCCCTTGCCTTTGCCCTCACCCTTGCGCGCCGCCGATTTGGCTAGATACCACAAGCCCCGGCCAGCCCCTGGCTCTCGGGTGCCGCCGATTTTTTGCTCGTTGCCACTACCCCCGATTGTCTTGAAGTGCTGCAGCTTCTGCCTGCCGCTACGAGACCAACTAGCCTCGTCTAACATTGGCTGGCCACTTGCCCCAGCGCGCCGCGAATTCAGCTGGCCATTATCAGCCCCGACAAGCCCTTAGCTTCAGAATGTCGCCGAATCTGTTGGCCGCCGCTGGCCCCGATTGCTCAGGAGTTCCACCGACTCCTTTCACCGCCATTGGCTGGACTTGCCCCGACTAGCCCCCAGCTTTGGGGTGCCGCTGATTCCGTTTAATACCACTGGCCCCAATTGTTTCGGAGTATTGCCCATGCTATTGGTGACCAACAGCCACAACTGGCCCGACCAGATTTTTTGCCCCAGCGTGCCACCGATTCAGCCCGCCGCCGCGCGCCCACAGCAGCCCTGTCTCGCCCCTCAGGTTGGCGCCCCGCCGATTTCACTGGCCGCCACCAGCCCCGACAGGCCACCTGCACCGACGTGTCGCCGATCCCGCCGGCCGCCTGGCCCCGACAAGTCCCAGCGAGCCACGCGACCACGAGAGGCGCCGATTCCGCTGGCCCCCACCAGCCGTGGTTGCCCCCGACCAGTTCCTCTCCGCGGCCCGCGGTCGCCTGACCGCTCGCCACCACCAGGCCCTGGCAGCCACCCCTGCCCAGCGCGCCTCTGGGTCCGTCCGTTGCCGCTGGCCCGGAGTAGCCCGGGACTCACCTTTTCTTCGGCGCGCCTGCGATTGCGTCCGCTGCCCCCAGCCCCGACTTGTCCCCGCGCTGAGTATCATAATTATACGATGGGTGGATGCTCTTACTGGCTCTTAACATGTGTCTCCTGATTGCAGAAGCAAACTATTGCTAATCGGGTGCCATTCCGTGTTCGGCAAACTGTGCGCGTATCCGTGTTCTGTTGCACAGTCACGGTCCTTGCATTCGTTAGTTTTTCCCTTGGATAGCCGTCGCCAGGGTTGCCTTTATGATGCCCTGGAACTAGCTGAAATCATTGACGCTTTGCGCGTCATCACCAGCCCATCGAGTCGCCTTGATCAGAGAAGTGCAGGGGCAAGCAGTGGAGCAAAGAAGGGGGCAGCCGTCGAATCCAAGTTCGGGACCAGCCTGAGCAGACCCAGCAGTCAGTTATACGTGCCTTCGCAGATGTTTCGGTATGCGACCGTCGAAGAAGCTTACGTGGACTATTTTGGGCCCTCCCGAGGCCATTCTGAAGGCCTTCGAGGCTCTCTTGGATCACTCTTGGTTGGTGCCTTGGGCCGATCTGGGACGCCATCGATCAAGACGTGAGTGGCGTCTGCCCTTGTCGGAGCTCGAGAAATCGCCTCTTGTGGCCCACTTGGAGCGCTCTTGGGCGTTCTTGGAGCCAGATTGGCGCTCTTGATGGCCCATCTTGAAGCTCTCTTCGGGGATCTTAGAGCCATATTGAGGATTGAACTGAAAAGCCCATCGGAATCGAAAAGGCGAGAAGGCCACAATCATTCGAAGCCATGTGTTATTCGACGATTTCGCCATCTCGGGAGGCTCCGAAGCCATTTGGAGACGTCTTGGGGCATCTTAGAGGCATACTATTGGGCCATATTGGAGGCCATTTTTGAGACATCTTGGAGCAACCTTGGTTACAAAGCCTCTAAAGGATTTTCCCGAGAGGGCAAATCATTTACGAAAATGTGTGCAATGTGTTGGCTTTGAGCGAAGTAACGGCATCAGTTAGAGTCCCCTCGGCGGAGCCCGAAAAATCGCCAGCCAGAGTCCTCCTGGGCCCTCATTGGGGCCGTCTTGGAACCTTTACGGATCATTGTTGGGGCTTTCGTTGGCGCTCTTGAAGCCACCTTGAGGCCCGGAAAGCCCATCGGGAGCGAAAAGAAGAAATGGCAAAAACAGATACAGGTTTGGAAAGAGTCTGACTTCTCGGGGGTCTCATGGGGAGTCTCCGTGACCATTTGGGCCCGTTTTGTGGCGGTCTTGAGGCCTCCCGAAGATGTATCACAGGCCATCTTGGGCTATCTGAGGCCGCCTTGAGCCATCTTGGACGCCGCTAGCCGACGCGCCACAGGAAGGGGTTAGGGGAGGGGTCAGCCCCGCCTCCACTCGCTAAACCACCCATGCCCAGAGGGCTGGTGGGATTTACCCACTCTCGCATCCGTACTGGCTGCACGTATGCCTCGCGATTGAAATGCAGCTCTTCCGTTGTACGTATACGTATCCTCCTCCCTGATCCTGTGGCTCGTCCCCCTCACTGTATTGATCTTCTCGGCGCATCCCCGCTCGTCTGTCGCACCGGTCAATTGAGAGCGCCTCGCCATCACAGATAAAAGAAGTTATGTCTTGAATTGATTGCAGCCTTTGCGGCTGTCCCTTACTTTGGTCAGATTATTTGTTCTTGGCAACATCCACAAGTATTGATGTTCCGCCTTCACGCTGTCCAGCTTCTCTGCAGGGAGATTGCCCCAATTACCGCGCTCACAGCGGAGTCTCAGGTGTTTTGGAGATGTCACGAGATAAGGAATACATGACAGGTCATGTTGGCGGATCCAGTCGGTCAACCGATTTGATCGGTATAGGTCGTAGGATGGTTCAGATTGTCACCTGCAGTGGCAGCCAGGGGGGGTCCCCCCGCGACGCAGGTGCCGTACGACTTACCTCTGTACGAAAGGTATGGTCTGGACCATACTGATATGGGGCAGCTGCTGGCGATCGGTACCCAAAGCTCCTTTTGATATCAGAGCGTCGGGAGGAAAGCACGGAATGAGCATGGAGGGGAGAGTGGGAGATGACTTGAGGAGGCGGGGCGAGCGGGAAAGGTGCATATATTGTGGCGCGTGACCTTCGGCCGTCGAGAAGAGAGATGGTGACGAAGGAGGTGGAGAGGTACGGGGGGTAAGGCGGAAGGGGAGGGAGGAGCAGGCGGGGAAGAGGGGAGAGAGCCGGGGCCAGGCTGAAAGACAGTGGTTGCAAAGGGGCACAGACAGGAGAAGAGAGAGGAGGGAGCGGACGAAGGGAGGGGTGCTCCTCACAAAGAAGAAGGAGATGATGTACGGCGCCCACAAGCAGGCGCCCTGAGGCTTCGGCGCCGTGGCGGCGCTACAGGGCCTATATCGAAAGGGTCTCGAGAGGAGGGAGCGGAGCACGGGGATGCAGGGCTTTATCAGGAGTCTTCCGAGAGGTGTTCCAGAACGGCCGCGGCGCCCGATGCGTCCTCCGGACCCGCCAACGCTTGGAGACCTCCACAAGATCCGTATCCGAGTACGTTCGCATCTTGCCCGACACCTTCTGGAGGGTGGTGGCGGCGAAACGTGCGCGCCATGCGTTTTGCATGAAGTGGAACGCCTCGCACTGCAAACGACCACCCTATGTATGGCAAGCTAAGTATGACGGGAAGCGCGCATAGATTCGAAGAGTCGCGCGATGGACGTTGGTGTAGGCCCGGAGGGAAATATGTTCAACCGGGGTGAGTCTGAGGGGGGAAGGGCTCGGGGTATTTCTTTTACCAAGACCTGGCGGATTAGTCAGAATTGCCATTTCGCCTGAGACATCCGCACAACATGGAGATATTGGAGGCTATCGCTTAAGACGTCTTATGTTAAAAATGAGCGCTTCGCCCGAGACATCCTCCAAAAATGGAGATCTTGAAATCGCTCGCCTAATTTTCGTATCCTCGAAAATAGTCGTTTCGCCCGAGACATATTCGAAAGAATGGAATGCCGACAGAGTTCTTGTAAGGCATATTTTCGGCGCGATCTCGAATGACCTCCAAGATGGCCCAAGAAGCGAAAGTATTGAAAAACCCGCGCGTTGTAACACTGTCGTTGGAAAATCAGCGCTTCGCTCGAGACATCCTCCCAAAAATGTTTTTGTTCGGACGGGTCCTCGAATGCGACATGTGTTTCCTTACATATATATATATATGTATGTATTGCTCGAGTTTTTCGGAGTTCGCCAGAGCGTGGACGTTATGCCCACTGTCCTGAAAGTCGGGCTTCTATGTCACACACTGACAGTCTACATGCGTCTCATTTCATGGAATCCGATGTCTCTGCAAGATTACGACAAACGCCTGGAGATTTCTAAGGAGCTCGAACACATAGATGCCGTCCTCCTCTCTGGAACGCAGACCAAGACCGCGTCCTCCTACGAGACGCACTCGACAGCGGAGTTTCCCATGCTGAAGTTTGGACGGCATCGCAGTATTAAGAACACGACAGGCAACAAATCATGCGGCACTGAGATCTGGCTGAGCAGACGATGGTTTCGGAAGACACACATAGTCAAGATCTGGCAGCCTCCACCCGCTCTACGCGGCCGTATAGGCGCCACGCGCGTGAAGAGCGCGCTGTTTAACTTCACCTTCATCACAGCATACTTCCCGCCGAGATCGCAGCGCATCACCACTGCCTCCAAGAACGAAGTCATCATCGACAAAATGCTCAGCTATCTGCATGACATCGTCTCGAACCTGCCGAACCGCACTTGCGTGTTCATCGGCACCGACCTGAACGACAGCCTCGCACGCATCTACTTGACAGAGGACGACGACGCCACCATAGGCGTCCATGCATACGGTCAGCAGCACTACGCGGGCGAAGCTTTCCACACGTTTCTGAAGGACTACGCCCTGTGCGCGGCGAACACCCACTACCCGTGCGGCCCTACTTATCACGGCCTACGAGGGCACTCGAGCTGCATCGACTACCTGGTGATGCCGATACGCTATCTACCGCGAGTACGTCGCCATAACATCGCCTACCGCCTGACCAAATGGCTCCGAGCATTTCCGTCTCAACGACTAATGGATCACATGATGCTGTACATCGACGTGGACTGCACCTTCACATACGACAAACCCCAGACAACACCGCAGTGGGACTACACACGCAGATTCTTGGCCTGGAAAGATGAACGATTCTACGAATGGGCAAAGCAGCTACGCGACGACATCGAGGCTGACCTGTCTAACTACCCCAATGAGAACGGCTACCGTGATATGGCAGACTGGGCTGAAAGACACACGATTGAATCTGGATGGCAACTATTGATATCTAAGATACGCACACGAGCCCTGGAATATTTTGAAGCAAGAAAGTCCACGACTGAGCTAGAGTACCAGCAGCTAGCAGAGCAACGTCGTCAAGCCCTACACGCACGCACACAAGCTCGACAGACTTTAACAGACGACCTAGAGGACACGCTTGCTCTTCACCGCTGCAGCGCTGCCTGCAAAAAACTTCGTCGACTACGCGACATCCGAGATGAGCAGCACTTTCGCGAACTACAACAAGCCGATGAGGCAGGGCTGGAAGCAGAGGTTTGGCGAGCGTGTCGACGCCTTGCAGGCAATGGAAAGGGCCCTGGCAAACGGTGCTACTACGATCTCCCCGACGCGCGCCCCTCTGTTCAAACATGGACTGAAGATATGGCACTTCCTGGCGCGGAAGGAGGAATGGAGGCGGCACCGATTGATATCGAGCACTTCATCGACACCGCTGCGTCGAACGACGAGCGTTTCTGCCCTTCTGCACATCAGTGGAGACACGCCCAGTAGGACTTCGATGCGATCAAACGCCAGCTACGGAAGCATTGCGAACGCCGACGAGCCGCTCCCGAATGGTCGCTACCTGCAGAAATCTGGTCTCTGTTGCTCGTCGATAGAAGTGATGATTGTAAAAAAGACTGCAGCCGCGAGTACGACCACACGATGATCTTCCCTGGCCCCCTCCTCAGCGATGCGATCCTCACCCAACCTGCTGCGGTGCGTCAGCACCAACGGCTCAATGCTTGGTGGAACATATCTCAGACTTATCAAGTAAGCAAGATGAACAATAAACCACGTACACGAGGCACTCGACTACAACATGGATTATGTACGTTCGGAAAGACATGGGTTGCCTCAAGACAGTCACTCACATCCACACCATTGCATGACACTGAGCACGGCTACGCGCGAGCACGATCACGCTCAGCAGCGATTACAGTCGGGTTAGCACTGCAGTGGCGCCTCACCAAGCAGCAACGAAGCCACATCACCACGAAGCACGACATGACGAACGCTTTTGCTTCAGTGAATCATTCCCACCTCGACGATGCTGTGGGCAAGATATACCTCCCTGGCGACTGTACGATCATGAAAAGCAGGCATCGTCGAGCAGCGTGCGTGATTAGCGACGGGATTGACACTCAGGGTTACAGGAACACCGTAGGCTGCTTCATGGGAGACGCCGACGCTGCGATCAAGTTCCGCGTGGCCTTCATGCAGCCCACTAACGAATGGAATGATGCACTCACTACCGATACCAGTACATCGATGGTTGCGGGATGCGAGTTCACTGGCACCAACGTCGACCTCAGCGTTCACAAGTACGCCGACGACCTCACCAAGACCCACATGTGTCACGACGCGCAGATGGTGGCCTACAAAGTTCAACAATCCGACCAGATCCTGAACGACAAGCTGCGCACCATCGGACTGCAGCAGAACGCGGGGAAAAAGGCTCTTCTACCGACGTTCGTCGGCACTGGCGCTCACAGATACGCACGCGCCCTGCACTGTCGCAAGATACCAGTTGACGGCGAAGGACATTCCTCGACCCTGTTCTTAGGCTCCATCATGCAGGCGAACGGTCACAACCACGCCGAGGTTAAAGAACGGTGTATTGCTGCGGCTCGCGGATGGCGTAACATGGGACGTTTCTGGAAGAATTGCCGGTATCTGAGACGTCGCAAAATGGTTTTCAGAAGTCAGGTATTATCAGCCGCCACCTCTGGACTCGAAGCACGTGTACTGACAATAGCACAACTCGATCAGATAGGCGCCTGTGTAGCTCGTTACGCTCAAGCTCTACTTCAAGGTACCGCATATATCAAGCAGTCTGCCGACGACGACGCCACCTCTGGCACCACCGAGGTTGTTCGCAATATCTCATCTCATGCAGTATGGAAAAAATTGAAGATGGCACCGCCTTCCCTGGACATACAGAATGTGCGCATCAAGCGATGGCAACGCGCTGCACGCGAAACTGACCAGCACGCACAACTACTAGCCTGTGGTTTTGGCAAACTACTCTGCGAGCCAACGACGACGCTGGACTTCGCCTGGGCCCCTGTGCACACAGCATCTACAGACAATGCTCGTGGCTCCTCAGATGGTAACGGCCCCACACATATGGCCAATCCTTGGCGCAAGCAGTTCTTTGATGACATGAAGTTGCTGAATGTATTTGCAGACGGACGAGCATGCCTAGACGCCATTGGCGACGATCTGCTCGACATTTTTCGACCGACACCTGGTCGAGACGTGTTTATCAAGCTAACGATTGCACGTGCACGAAAGTGGTGGATTGCACAGCCCGCCCCACCACCCCGCAGTGCTCCAGATGCAACAGTCGCCTGGAGCAGCCCCCATACGTGTGGCCTTATATGTGCGGATGGAGCGATATGCATGTTCACGGCCGAAACAAAACAAGCGCTCCGAGTACACCAAACGATGAGTGGAGAGGGAGGCGAGCACGGCCGAATATGCGAACATACGAGATTCACGATTACGAACCAATGCCCGAATTGCCGATCGACCTTCGCGAGCCGACAGACAGCGATCAATCACCTTGCTGCTGCTTACCGTTCTGGGCGATGCCAAAAACACCGCTCTGTATACAACTTCGAGGTGAACGATCTTCCGCAGCTGGTTTGTCCAAGTGAC